GGGGGGGGGGGACGATGGTTAATTAGTGCTTTTTTAAGAAAGAAAATTAAAATCTTCTCACTTTTATTGCATATAAAAAAATTTAGATTAAGGGAATATACACTCTCTTACAAGGCCAGGAAAACCACAAATCTCAATGGATTACAAGACAACATCAAAGATAGTCCATTATCTTAGAAAATGTTATTATCTTTTTTTTAAAAAAAAAAAGGATAATTTGATCCCGATCAGTCCAAAAACTATTGGATTTGATCATAGACGGTTGAGCCTAGTACGGTTGATGGAGATGAGTTGGGTGATATCCCGCGAGATGATCGAATATTGGTGAGATGGCCTTGGTGCTCCTGTGAGATGGTTGAGCTTGTGTATAGTGTTTAGTATTCGGATAGATGATCTTACTTGGGCTAAATTCCTCTATATTTATAGTGGAAGGGTGCGTTGCTTATGTCAAACATTTGTATGGCGGTGATCATTCGCATTGGAGGAGAATGGTAGCCTTCACAGGCTATGCTATAGGCGAGATTGTTATAATTAGGCTAAGCCCTTGTAGATGTCGCGACAAGCTGTTGTTGTCCTTTAGTCATTTGTTTATGTGGTCAAGTTATCCTGAGCAGCTAGTCTCTCCATGACCTACTCGCTTGAGCTATTTTGCTAGTGGCCAGTTCAGGTTCCTAGGCTTATTGGGCTTTTCCTAGACTATGCCTTTATCTCGGATACTATCAGGTCCAAATCAGATCCTATTCCTGACATACTTTCTTATCCCAACTTCCCAAGCGAACTTATGATTAAGTCTCTTCCATAAAACTTGTGTGGGATTGAGTCATCTTTTCAAATGCAATTTCCCAAGATGTCGGCTGACTGGGCTGCACTTGTTGAATTTCCATATTAGCTTGTTGTGCCCCTTGCTTGTATGAGAACGCGGGATGGTTTATCCAACCAGGATTGTAAGTGTTACTAAATGGATTATTCTCCCTCCGCTGATTGTTCCAAATTCCATCGACTTAGGTCGGATCCACTATAATAGTAGCATCACAATTATCAGTGCTATGAGGTCTTCTGCAAGTGTCACAAACTACAGGAAACTGGGTATTAACCGCAGAAATCTTAGTCTGAGTAAAAAGCTATACGGGCAACTCTAGCCTTTGATCCATCTTGTCTTACTTGGCTAGCATGATACCGTATCCCTTCCAGCTGCATGATTCCTCTCTAGGGTGATGTTGGTGGGACCTTAGTGTCCTCAGCTGCCATCTTCTCAATTAGTTCCACAGCTCTGGTGGTTGTGACCTCTGATAAACTTCCTCTAGCTGTAGCATCGAGTAATATCCTATATGTCGTTGTAATTCTTTTATAGAAATGCGAACCTTTTCATCGTTTGAGAGCACATATTGTGGGCACCTCCTCATGAGATCCTTGGATCATCCCCAAGCGATGCACAAAGATTCTACTTTAAGTTGTTTGATGTTGTTAATTTGTTCCCTAAGCTCAGAGAATCTGGAAAGCATGAAGAATTTCTTCTGTAATTTGACTACAAAGTCTTCCCACGTGGTGATACTTTCAGGAGGTTGCAGCTTTAATCATCTTCTTGCTTTTCCTTTCAGAGAGAAATAGAATAAGGTCATACGAATCGCCTCGGGAGGTACTATATTGGCCTTAATCAGATGACACAATTGCAAGAAAGTTATGATATGCTGATTTGGGTTTTCTGACATATTCAAGAATAAGGCATTGATCTCGAAGTTATTGGCCTTAATTTGAGGCCTCACTATGCTCGCAACAGGATGCGAGAAATTTGGGTTCAATTGTTGACCCATCACTTCCTCAAGAGGATTTTGATTATTTTCAGCTATGTTTAACTCTTTTGTAAGGTTAGAAGTAGTTGCTTTTTGTAACCTCTAGCATGAGTAAGCTATTAGTTCTCTCTAGTCTACCTAATTCTCGTACCGCAAGGCGCTGGTGTCAACAATGCCTCGCAATTGATAGTCTTGCGTAAACTAGAGAAACTAAGACAAGTAGGTCCAACTAACGGATTGCACTAAACTAACAGAAAATAAAAATAAAAAAATGATCCAATATGTCATTTAATAGATATAGTTAATGTTGATAAAAATCGATCCCCGACAACGGCGCCAAAAACTTGTTGTGACTTCGGCAAGTGCACCAGTTGTACAAGTAATATAGCGAAAAAGAGTGGGGTTGTCATTCCCACGAGTATTGATGTACAAGCACTGACTTAACTATGTGTCCAAAGTTGGATCGATCTTTAAAGTTTTTGAGAATAATGATTTAATTATGAAAATAGAATTTTTCATTAACAATTAAATAACAAGAACAAGAATCAAAAACAAAGATTCAAGAGCAATTTGAAATCAAGAATGCAAGGCGTAGTTAGGGTGTTGATTTCCTCAATATCTTCCTAACAATTTTACCCTTTCCTGTGACCAATATCCAAGAACATGTTATTGACAATTCTTTTATAATTAATTAAAGTCCAATCCCTTGATAATTTAATCCTTGACTCTATTTAAAACCTTAATCTCTCAGTGATCTTTCCTGGAGCAAGCATTAAGAGCAAGAACCATAAAGTCATAGGATTTGTAAGCCTATGCTTAGATCATATAAACCCTAGTAATTAACCAATCAAAATCAAAACACCAACATTCATGTTGTCAAGTAGGATTCATATGTTCATCTATGAGTGATCAATTCATAAACGAAACTAGTCGTGGGAAATTTTATTAATTGCGTAACTTTGAAAATGAATATCAAATTACCAGAAAGGAATAAATAAAACTAGGAATCCATTGATTTCATCTAACCCCAATTACATAAAAGAACCTAGCCTAACATTGTCATAGAAACAAAAACAAGAGATAAAAATTAAGGAGAATTCATGACTCGGTCTCCATGGTGAAGCTATGACCCTTCTTCCACCTCCTCCGCTTCAGAACTGCTCTTCTGTCTCCTCAAGATGTCTCCAGTCGTCCAAGAATGAGAATAATTGGCCTAATTCGTGCCTTTTTAAATAAAAATATCCTTGGGCCTTCAATTAGGTCACTACTCACTGAAGCAAGCTTTTTAACGAGCAAATACGACATCATCATTGGTCTGCTCGCTTAAGCGAGTATGCTAGCGAGCAAATTCGACAACCAAAATATAGTTTTGTATTTTGGTCATAACTTGAGTTATACTTGTCCAATTAATGTGATCTTGGTCTCGCTGAAAAGATAAGAGAAAAATCTATAACATATATACAACACGAGATCCAAATTCATCACATTCGATACAAAAAATTGACCGAAAGACAGGTTGAAGATGATTTTCACTAAATGGTTGCTCCTCATTTATCACTTTAAGTCTTTCTAGGTTAGCCACTGCTCCAATGCTTCATAATAGCAATTTAAACCTGAAACCAGTATATTTTTAAGTCAATAACACATCAAATGATAAAAACTTAAGAATTTTTTGCATTTGACAAAATATGTTATGTTCCCTACCATTTAGAATGACATTTATTATACTTTTACTTCTAAAAACAAGGTGTGTTTGGCACCTAACATGCAACAGAAGCACGGTTTTTCGAACCACAAAACAAGACAAACTGTCTCAGTCTTTCAACGGTCAAGCCTCAGAACAAGAAAAGGCACCCTAACCAGTCACTCTGGACAATGTAGATCGTGTGCAATGTATCTGTCCACGACTGATCGAATACTGCCACTCGGTTTAGATCCAAACGAAAACAAATAGCCAATGACAACAAATGAGATGGTCAGCACAGAGATATCTTGCAAAATTATATTTACCCGGTCGATTTACCCGATCGCCCTTATATCTTAGCACCATGACTTCATATGCTACTAAGCTTAGTGGCTTCTGTTCTGACCGGCCCAATTGGCTAGCCCAATATAGGAGGCCTATTTTACCTCTAATACACTAACACTGCTATACCTCTACGGCTGTGACAGTGCTGCCATATTAGCACCCATGTATCAGGCTCCCCAACGTAAGACACACAAGGTCTTATGTTAGAATGTCCTCTTTTACTTTACCTTGCGCAGCAGTTGCCGAAGCATTGATAGCAGCTGTAAGATGCTTTGGCCATCAAAGCCAAGCTACAATGGTTCCCCCTAAACCAATTGACTTGGCTCACTCTCCCACATGGATAGAGCCTAACCTAACTATAAATACCCCCTCATTCTTCACCATGGACATAGGTGGTTCTCACCCTACTAACAATTCAATGATGTTTAAGACTTAATCTTGTTGCATGATCCTTTCTTATGGAATTTGTTTTCCTATTGCAGGAGATAAAATTTTCTCCTAGAATTCTAAAATAACGTCGTTTTGGAATTTGGAATAAAGAATAAAGGCTATTTTGAAAATGGGTTTTATGAGTGTTAAGTTATTGAATATAATCTTTTGTCCAGTCTCTAAATCATAACCGTACAAATATTGATCAATGGTGATAAAGGAAGAGAGAAAAAAAAATTATAATCATATAAAAATGAATCAATTAATATAAGAAAATAAATAAATAAAATGACGTAGTTTAATTATGACTGGATAATCAAGTGACATAACAAATAATAATTCCTTTGATATTATAACATATATTTTACTAGCATACCTTTTATTTTGAGGTCGCAGGGATGATGACTTTAATGTTAATACCTTTTAACAGTTTTAGGTTTTTTTAACGGGAGAGGTTATACTTATTATCTTTTTTTTCTTACTACTTGTTACTACCAAATCTTAATCGTTGATTTCCGTCAATTAAACGGTTATAACTTATTAGAATTAATAATTAATTAATAAGTGTGACCCAATAAATTATAACCATTAAATTGGCAGAAATCAACGGTTAAAATTTAATAATAACAAATAATAAAAGAAAAAAAAGTAATAACTATAATATTTCCTTTTTTAATAATATCTGCCCGGTTATTTCTTGATGTTCATCTACTTTCATCTTTTTTTTTTTTTTTTAATTCTTTTACCTATAACCCAGAACCAGGTACCTTCTTTTCTTCCATTTCCATAACATAGTTTCCACCGCTTGTGTTTCTGTTCCGAATGGGCACGGCATTCCACCTTTGTGCCAGTTTTAATTCAACCAGTTCCAATCCTGTTCAAGGTATTTATACTAGTAACCACACTAATTTCTGCATCGCATTTTCTAAAATCCCACACTTTTTCTCTTAAATCCTCATCTTATGCCGAAAATTCCCAGGTAGAAAATGCAAGTATGCGGGTCAATCAGTGGTAAAAATTATCTGAACTTAACTCCTTGAATTTCAACATAACCCAGTTATCGTTACTATCAATTATCAAACAATACGAATCCCAATTAACGTTGCTACCGAAGTCGTAATTTGCGTGATTGAATGTGTGTGTGTTTTTTTTTCAATTAATTGATTATTTGAGTTTGTGTAGAGAGCACTTCCTATACGAATATTATCAGTGGGGAAGAAGCGATCACGTGGACTACAACTCATGGTTGATGAGTATGTTGAAAAGCTCAAATACTATTGCAGTGTTGAGGATGTTCAAATACGGCCAAATCCTAGAAATGCACGGTGAATTCACTGTATTGCTTTTATTTCAGCAGTTTTATTCTCTCCAGCTTTGAATGACCAATATGAATTCAAGATTTGCCTCTAGTGAGTGCATACATGTACACAGGAACTTGCATTTTTTTTTATTTTTTTTCATTTTCTAATAGAAAAAGGTTGATCATTTTGTTTGTGTTGTAGTGACCAAAGGGCTCAGGTTGACGATGAAGACACGGCATTTATGAACCTTATAAGGTCTGATGATTGGGTATAGTCTCCAACATGTATGAATTTAAATTACAGTAAGGAATAATTTTGTTATCCTTATTTGTACTTGTAAGTGTATTTTGTTCCGTGGTGGAGATGAGAATGATAGTAAAATAAAGGAATTGCTTTCCGTGTTCAGAACAAATACTGCTTGGTGCTTGCTTATTACAATGCTTCCATTTGTTCTTCAGTTTAACTCTGAAGTTTCGATGAATTTTTTGCCTTTTTCTCCTTCTTACCTCACTTTTATGAAGGAACTCAAATCTAAATTCTAAGCCTTGATGTGTCCTCAGAATAATCATGTAATCTGACTTAATATGTTTATATTCTCCTTTAGTTCAGTGTCTTGTGCTGGTGACACAATGCAGTCAAATTAAGCCTAAGTAGATGTTAGTGCCAAATCTGTGTTATGTTTTGTCTTGCTAATGGTCTTTATCCACTTATCCACAGTGTTGGAACTAAATTCAGGTTCGTTTTCTTGCCCGGAATATCCAATATGGACGACACCCACTTTTAACACAACTCACATTCTGTTTAAACCATGAAGATCTATGTCATATGTTTTATTTACTACGATTGACATGGTTTCAATTTTAGCAAACATTGTAGTACCATTTCCTGTTGCAGTGTCTACTTTAAGTCCTTGCTTGAAACTTGGAACCTACTTTACTCGCAACTCATTTTCAAGATATAGTGGAACATTATAAATTTATAGATCTTTGTTTTATCAACAAGAATTGGCTTCTTCCCCCCTCCTAATTAGGATTTGTGATAGGAACTCAGGGAGATTGAAATGCTGAGATGAGGGATCAGAAAGATAGAGAAAGTACTTTTTGTTATTCAATCTCTACAAATCAAGGAGATAGAGACCGGCCTCCTTTGAGGGTTTCTGCTTTTCCACCAGAGCAATGAGCTCAGTACAAAATACCTTTCCCAAAAGATAACCCCTCATACAATTTCTGTTATTTAACCACTTGACTCAACTAACTTCTAACTGTCATCTTAACTGTCTAACTGCTTCTCTTATTTCTTCTAGTATACACACTCCATTTCTTTTGTCCAATCTCTTTAATCTTTATTTTCGTCCCTAACAGTTTTTCTATCATGTACCTTCACTCACAGGTTGTGATGTTAGATGAACATGGACTAGACATAGGATCTGAGCAAATGGCAGAGTTGGTGGGTGATGCAGGAAATACTGTAAGAACATCTTGTAAATGATCTCTTCTGTATGTGGAAATGCATGCCCTTATGAGTATTGATTATGCTTATTGGCTCTATGATGAAAGAGCATCGTAAGTTGTCTATCATATAATAGGCCCTTGACATCCTGTCTAAATTAAGATTTGAATACCTGAGTTCTGTTTAAATTGAGAGGTAGTAAAATAATGTCATTTGTGTTTCTTAGTTCTCACCCTTGGCAGTGCTTCTATCAATCATTTATGTGTAATTCTGCCTTTCATGAACTTACTTTATAGTGAACTGACTTAGTTATCACTAAACGGCTTTTTAGTAGTCACCAGAATAATGGGATGTATCAAATCTACTTTTAGTTTTTGTAAGCTCGCTGCAGTTTTTAAACTGACCTCTGTATTGTTACTTGCGAAAAACCATCTTCTCTTATGCTGGCCAAAACAGGTTCTCAGTTTTGAACTCCTGAAAGCATGATTTCTTGTCTGCAGTGCCAAGTTTGTATTTTAATCATATTTAGCATTAGATGCATCTCAAAATACAGCAGCGTCATTTTTAGTATTTGTTTTTATTTTGGTACATTAGTATTTGTGGCATTTGTATTTTCTAAGGACTGGATTTTTGTCACCTTTGTGAGACTTTGCAGCTAATGAATGTTGGCAGATTCAATTGTGTGAGGATATTTTTTACATGTTTTCTGCGTTGTTGGATTTCTGTTTTCCAGCCAAGTCATTTTACGCTTCTATATTGGTGTGCTGTGTGCGATAGGGTGTGTGTGTGTGGGTATACCCCAGTTTTGTCTTCTTTTAAGTACCTAATTGTACTTTGATTTGGATTTTCTGTTCTACGAATAACTCTCTTTTGATGGGAAAAATGGCATCAATTTCCATTCTTTTGTGATTTTCATCCATGTTATAATTCTTGTCTTTTTTAATATGAAGAAGATACCTTTGAATAAAGTTTCTTCTTGAATAACAATAAACTTTATTGATTTTTGCTTTCTCACAGGGTGCTTCACGATTATCATTCTGTATTGGTGGGCCCTATGGTCATGGAAGAAAAATGCGGGAACGTGCTAACTTATCAATCAAGTTATCTTCACTGGTCTTAAATCATCAAATAGCATTACTTGTGCTCATTGAACAGCTGTACAGGTAACCATATTTTAATCTCCTTTTGTATCATGTCTTTTATAATTTTATATCTGTCTTTAAAATGTAGCATCAGGATATTATAGTAACACTTCGATTGGACCATACATTGGTTGCTTTACCTTTTAGTGCCCTGCTTACTATTTTTAGTGGGAAAAATGAACATTTTGGGGAACAAAAAGGCCACTTCTAGAGAAGTTAATCAAGTTATCTTTTGGTTTCTGAGGAAAAGCTTAGAACACAAGTATTTTTCAGCTTTTCCTACAACCTAAAGTTTTTACTTTTTCAAATAAAAAAATTTCTTTATACCACTACCATTTTTGGGCTTTTGCATATAAAAACAATTCCATAGGGCTTTAAACCAATCGCAATGCAACTTTGCTTTTCACTTGTATGAATGGTAAACTCCCAATTTACAATTGAATGCTATTTTTCCATTCTGGCCAAAACAAAATACAGTCTTAATTATCTCCAAGAATTGCCACTTGTTCATGTTCTTGAGACTATATTATTTACTTGTAAGTGGCTAACACACACTTCAATCTCTGATTTATAGGTCATGGACAATTTTAAGAGGACAAAAGTACCATCATTAGATATCCTATCTTATTTGTTTATCTTTCATATACGTCTTTCGTGATGTGTCCAATTTTCCCATGAACCTTTTATATCTTGTCTTCTATTTCACGAAATTGGATCTTTTGGAATTTGGGGTGAACGGATGAGATGTCTTGGCATGAATGTGAATATTTGAAAATTGGATTTTTTTACATCTGCCGCTACCTGGAAGGAATTTGTTCAATCTACTTCAAATGTAAAAGCACATCATACATGCATAAAAGCAATAATAATTGATTATTTAAGCAGTACAGCAAAACTTCAATTTAATTGACAGATTAATCACCTGGGAACAAAGTGGGAAAAGGTAATGATGTGAGAGCAGCACATCCCAATTGTTGTATCGACAAAACGAACTTAAAAAAAGAAAAAAAATTGTAAATAATCTCATGGGCGAATCAACCAATACTTAATTTTTTTTTTTTTTTTTTTTTACCTCTCTACTTGCAACTGATCTTGGGGAAGGAGGGAGAAAAATTAAAATTCAACCGCAATCCATAACAAAGGTGAAGAATACGCGAAGACAACTTCTGGAATATGAGATAAAATAAAATTGAACAATATAATCAAATAAAAAGAAAAGAGAAACACTTGTTTTGATAAAATGGTGAAGACCGACTAAAGGTGGGAAGAGGGAGAAAAGATGAAGATGGTGCAGAGAGACAAAATTTATAGTACTCAAACACGTCCCACAAAAGGCGTGATTGGTTGAAGAGAGATACTTCCCACAAGGGGCGTGACTTACTAGGTGCTGACACGTGGCACAAAAGTTAACAGTTTGACCGTAAAACTTTGGAAGTCCATAACTTTTGACTCGGTGTCCGAATTAGGTAAAAAAAATTTTTGATTCCACACTATTTTTAAAAATTTACGTAATGACACTTCATTTGGCATATTTTGTCTCTCACAAAGAAAGTTTGAATTTACAACAACGATACTATAAGAACATTTAAACCCAGATTAATAAAGAGAAAATCACTATTATGATTAAAAACATTTCCACTGTTATGATTAGAAAGTAAAGATCCTTATGATTATGGTACTATTTTGTCACTTATTGAAAAAGTTTGAAGTTACTAAAAAATTACCTAATTAGGAGAAAGACATGCTCCACATGGGGCATGACTCACCAAATGCTAATATGTGGCATAAAAAGTCTGTAATTTGACCGTAAAACTTTGGAAGTCTATAACTTTTGATTCTGGTGTTCGAATTAAGTAATTTTTTTTTATTCCACATAATTTTTTGAGATCTACGCAATGATGTCTCATTTGAATATGAACGATGTTATTTAAGTTGAAGTTTCGTCTCCCATAAATATAATTTCAATTTTACACAATGGTACCATGATTATAAGGATCTTTACTAGGAATGTTTCTAATCATGAAATTGGTTTTCTCTTTATTAATTCGGGTTTAAACGTTCTTATGTTATCGTTATTGTAAATTCGAACTTTTTTGTGAGAGACAAAATATGTCAAATGAGGTGTCATTGCATAGATCTCAAAAAGTTGTGTAGAATCAATTTTTTTTTACCTAATTTGAAAACTCGAGTCAAAAACTATGGACTTCCAATGTTTTACAGTAAAACTGTTGATTTTTTATGCCACGTGTCAGCATCTGGTGAGTCACGCCCCTTGTGGGGAATGTCTCTCTCATCAAACATGCCTCATGTGGGGAGTGTCTTTTTCCAACCGATCACGTGCTCTGTGGGGCGTGTTCGAGTGCTATAGATTTGTATTTACATTTAAAATGACTATGTTTTCATAAATATTTATTAAAAAAGCAATATTTAAATTTCTTTGCCATTATTTTTTCATCGCTACTTTTGGTTTTCCTATAGAGTCGCTTTATTTGTTATGACTCCTAAGAAAATCTTTATTTCATGACATCCTTTAACAATGAATTTAATAAATGTAGTAACTAAATTTTTACTTTAATTAAAATTTTGTTTATATTTTCACTTGTATATTTGTGTACATATATTATTTTATTAAAAAATTAAATTATAAGAATTTATAATTTGTATAGAATATTTAAAGAAAGTGTTAAATATTTATTTGTTAAAATAATTTTTAATATATTGAATATGATAAGAAATAAAATTTTAAGAAATTATAATTTTGGATAACCACAAGCCGGCTCTAGCCCATAGGACTTTTGGCCCGTGGATGCCTTTATTATTGAGGGCTATTTGGCCGTGAGTGTTTTTTTACCCTAACCCACACGAATTAAGGCCTAATGGATCAGCTGACCCATTTTGACAGCTCTATATTAAATGATCCCATAAATCTCTATTATTGTTGAGATTGTGATATAATAATATGAAGAGAAACAAATAAAATAGATATAAAAAAATTAATATAATATCCTATCTTGTTATTATTTTTTCCTATGTTGGTATGTATTTCTTTTGATCAAATAAATTGTTTCTTCGGTCATGGCTTTAATACTATCTACAAGATAACCTCAATAGTATCCACGTACTACCAGAAAATTAGTATTTTCCACAAGAGGCAATCTCCAAATCATGTTGGGCTAGCTCTTCAATTTTTTTATTTACTTTTTTTGCATTTACAAGAACTTGAACTCAAAATCTTGTTTAAACCGAATCAAATATGTATCACTTGAACCAACTCTTACCTTATTTTGGTATTCTATTATGACTATCCTCAATAACATATTCCTTTTCACAATCAAAACAACTTTGGTATTGCCCGATGTCATGTATGACTCATCTTAACAATTTTAATATTATTAATAAAATTTATTTTCTACTTCCGATGGTACATGACTAATCCTTGTTTGGAGCAACAAGAGTATTCTAGTATTATCTTTAGAAGACATTGTTGTATAAATGAGTTATGAATAAGAAGTTTGAAGAGTCACGTCTTTTTATTTTTGAACCGCCATATCTTTTCATTTACGAACAGTCGTGCCTCTTTGTTTGTCAACAATCGTGCCTCTTCATTTTTGAACAGTTGCGTCTCTTCGATTCTGAAAAGTCGTGCCTCTTCTCCTGTAATTGTTCATCTCTTATGTATACTAGTGGTCAATGAATTCCAAGACCTCAGTTTTCCTGATTCCTTACCAAAGCTCTATCAAGACTAATCCTCACATGTTGCCTTTGTCTGCAATTGATCAATGTTCGTTGTGTCCGCCGGTGTTGTTTCTTCTGATTACGCCACCGTTGTAACAAAGATAACTCATTCTATCCTGTGAGACATTTGTCCACAAATCTTAGGCACCGCTGAGGAGGCAAAATTTCCTTAAGGACACAATATACAATACTATGCTCGGGTTTAATTTTATGCAATTTTTATACTTGCATATTGCATTCTGATTTTATGTGATTGCATGCAATTTTGTGATTTTTGATATATTCATAACTAATAACACATATTTTGCCCTACCACCAATAATAATCTTAAGACAATATTTCTTTCTTTATGGTGCCCAAGATTCATGGACAAATGTCTCACATGATAGAGCAAATTATCTCTATTCTTATGGCAGCACTTCGACATTGAATAGTCTCATCGAACTTAACCTATGTTTGACCAACCACACAAGAGTAATGGAATCAGTGGCGGAGCCAGGATTCTTTATTAGCGGGGGCAAAAAAATTGGAGGAAGAGGATCTTTCTGAAAAAATTTCTAGTAAAACTAACATGAGGCAGCAACTGTTCGTAGTTTGAGTTCACCTATAAAGGTGAAATGTTTCAATAACAAATAATAATTGTTCATCCATAACTTCACCCGAACAATAAAACAAACTTTTTTTTTGTGCTTTAAACACGTAATGGTTTGCTTCTTCTTTTTCAGCTTCTCCTGGAAAAATCATATGTTAAAAAAATTTTCTTCAAAATTTTGGAGGGGGGCAGAGGGGGGGCGGCTGCCACTGTAGCCTTCCCTTGCTCCGCCCCTGAATGGAATACAAATGCGAATGAAATGGGAAAAATCTTTGTTAAATTTCTGATTCTCTATTTATTTATAAAAAACATAAGATCATGATTCAAAAGGAACTTATTCAATGACGAAACAATACATCGATTCGACACGAAATGACACATCCGTTCGACGATGAAAAGACACACCTTTTCTATATCAAACTTGTTATTCATATACATAATTAATTAAAAAATATTCCAACATACATTACGAAAACTAAAGCTTATTTCCTACTCAAGTTATCTTTTATTATTTATTTAAACTCTCTCTTCAAATTTTATGTTAAAAAAGAATACATTTCAATTCTTAGAGTCTCCTCCCTTCTTTTTTCTAGTAACAATTTTTTCTTTAACTTAAAGATTAATATTTTAATATCTTTGCTGGTTCAAAAAATTTATATTATTATTTAATGACAGATTATCACATTATTCAATATATTTGATATTTAATGTGGTTAAAAATATAATCAAATTTATTAATGTTAAAACAATATTAAACGACAACGTAAAATAATTAAAAATTAATTATATAATTTCCATCTAAAGTCTCCTCCTCTAGTCATCTCAATCAATGACTTTGACCAAGGCCAGCTATTGACTTGCACCGTTTATCTCACGACATGAAACGATTTTGTTACTATTATTTTTTTAAATGGTCTTCATTTATTAGGGTTTGGAGGTTAGGAAGTTCATTAAATAACCTCACATGGTTTTCATCACCATGAAAAGAACAAAAAAAAAAGGAGTTACGGTAATGGATTGTGGAGCGTGAAGTTCAAACTTCAAAGGAGCGTGGCACCGAGTGCAGTGTATACAAACATAAACGTAAAACCCCCCTAATTTTGAATCATCATGCTTCCTTTAACTCCAACTCCACTCGTAATACCTTACACACTTTGCCTCCATCACACATTCACACTTCTTCGTAATTCGTTAACCTCACCAACTTCATTGCGCGTGTGCGTGTCTGAGATCAACCCGTAGGGAAATATTCTAGAAGCTTCTCAAATCGAAGTTCGTTTATTCTTTTTCCTTCCTTCCTTTCTTCATTCTCATTCATTCACCATCTTTCTCAATCTTCATTTTCACGTTCTTCGAATTAAGTGGGGGTGATGGCTGATGAAAAGAAAGAGACGAGTACCACTGATGAAAAGAACGGAAAGAAGAAGCGCAAGGGGATTATTTCGCGAATTTGGAACGTGATTTTTAGGTCTGGTGGAGATGATTTTGAGAAGAGACTGCAATGTATTTCTAAAGAAGAAGCTTCAGTTACGAGTAGAATGAGCAAGAGATCGTGGTTCTGGAGGCGAACTTCTCGGCACCTTATTATATTTTCTGTTATATTTGAAGTGCGTTTACTAAATTCTTCGCAGAAAATCTTTGATATTATCTTGCTCTGAGTTTTTTTTTTTTTATTTCTTTTTGTTATTTAAACGGAAAAATAAAAGGATTTTGTTTAAAATGGTTTCAATTTTCAGGTTATTGCTGTAGGTTATGCTATTATGACAACAAGATCAATGGATATGAATTGGAAAATGAGGGCAATTCGAGTTTTGCCTATGTTTCTTCTCCCTGCCTTTTCATCTGCTGCATATTCGACATTTTTCAGCTTCACAAGGATGTGTAAGTGTCAAATAAAATAGTTTATAATTAACATCTTTCTGATGCTAGTTTAGTTTACTTTACTTTTCTGCCAATAATTTCAAGCCAACTTCTTTTACTGAGGAAATGCCTTCAATAACTTGTTAGTGCTAGTGGAAAAGTCTATATTGTAGTACTCTGATGGATGATTGCTTTGTATGAAATAATTTCTCCTTGCATCAATTGGATAGTCCTGGTGTAGTCATGCAGAAAATGCTGATAAAAATGCTTGATCTTAATGTGTCTTTGCATTCATTAGAAAAGTTCCTAGAGTTGATGTAATCTTGTAATAATACCTCAAATGAAACTTCTGTGTAGAGAAAAATGTGCTTGAAGGATAAACATTTAATTAAAGAAATTTGGTACTATCAGTCATAAGTTATAAAAGCTGTGATTCTCAACTCTACCCTGATGATTGTAACATCTGATTCCAATTTAATTGTGCTGTTTTTGGACTAGAAGCTTGTTTTAGAGTTTGATATGCCAAGTGCAAATAATATTAGTTGAATTTTAAATATAAAAGTGTGATCTTATAGGTGATCGCAGGGACCAGAAAATTCTTGATAGTCTTAGAGCTGAAAGGAAGGCAAAAATTGATGAGCTCAAAGAGAAGACAAATTATTACATTACTCAACAACTCATTCAGGTGATTGTCTGAAGCAAGGCTTTCAATATAACCTTTGTTCCTTGTCTTTTAGAACGTACAAAATATTAGGGTTAGGGGTTGTATTGATCTATTCTTGTTCCTTAATATCTTGTTGTTTGATAATTGCTAGGTTTTCCAATATCTTTTGCCCGGTTGTATTAAGCTTCTTGTTTTATTGTCTATTATTTTTTCTGTGTTGACTAAATCATAGTGCTTGTTTATTATCTTACTAGCAGTAGTTGTTTGACTCAGAAATTTTTTTGAAGTTATTTTGGAGGTGAAATTTTATCTTGATAGATCTAAATCTAATGTTGAAAAACAAAATAATTGATACATTTTTGTAACAGAAAGACGACTGAGCAAAAGAAGGGAAAAATTACATATTAAACATTAACTTTGCCCCCCTAAATATTTTTATTCAAGCTCTGTCACTGGATGTGAGCATGTCCGTTATGTTAATTGTTAATGTTAAGAACTTTTGCATTAAGGGGGAAAAGTAATGAAATCACATATGATCAGTTCTACCACTTAAATCCTAGGGGTGGATTTGGGTTGTTTTTGTTTTGATTTTCAGATGATATGTTTTTACTAATAATTACAAAAAATGCCATTGTGTTTTCCAATTTTCAAGAATTTGTTTAAGGAAAATCATTTACATTCCAAATTCTTGAAAACATAAAACAAAGGGAAAACAAGGTGGCAATTTTGTAATTATTTGTGAAAACATATCAATTGAAAATGGGGAAAAAAAAAAAAAACCAAACACACCCCTTGTTTCCTTATTTCAATATGAGCTGAGTATAGTCCTATGCTTTTAAGTGCATTATTTGAAGGCAAGTTATAATGGTATTTATTTGCAACTGCTTCAATATTTTTGTGTATCATACTTAGCTTGTGATCTACACAGAGATATGACACAGACCCAGCGGCTAAGGCTGCTGCTGCAACTGTTTTGGCATCCAAGTTGGGTGCAGATTCGGGTCTAAAAGTGTATGTGGGAGATGAATCTATAAATGGTGCTGCAACAGGGAAGACCAATGAAGTTGAAGTTGTGCAGTCTGGTGGACTTCGCAATCGCAAACAAGTGTACTCTAGAGCCACTTGTCTAGGGACAACTACCCAAAAATGTTCTGATCAGCAATTTGTTGGTTCTGGGGGAATTGATCAATCTCAGACTTCTGAGCATAATCAGCTTCTAGTTGTTGAACATCACCAACCTCAAAGTTCAACAACGCATGATGGAGGATGGATTGCTCGAATTGCAGCATTGCTTGTGGGTGAGGATCCAACGCAATCTTATGCTCTCATTTGCGGTAACTGCCATATGCATAATGGTAAGTGGACTGGCTATGATGCTCTAGGCTTTTATTCTCTTGTATAGGCGAGAGGACTTAACTATTCATGTAATTGCATGGTCAAGATTTGCTCCTCTTATGCACTTGTGTGACAAAATCATTTCTGCAACTGTTTTATTATGTACAGCAACGACAGGTGTATGGTTATGATTCCCCACATTTAATGCTTTCATTTTTTGTATGGTTATGATTTCCCGCATTTAATGCTTTTACATATATATATATATATATGTATGTATATATATACATATGATAAGTATTTGATTGCTGCACGTACAGCACCTGCAGAAATATAAATATATATATATATATATATATATATATATATATATATATATATATATATATGGATAAATATTTTCACAGCCACTTTAGAAAATGTTATCTATAGCTACCCAAAAATTACGTCGTTTTCGTTTTGATTAATGAAGAGTGTTTATGTAATTTAAGGTGAATTAATAAAGGGTGTTTCTGTAATTTTGTTTATTTTTTATCATATGCATTTTACTGAAACACCCTTCATTAATTCACCTAAAATTACAGAAACACCCTTCATTAATCAAAACGACGTAGTTTTTGGGTAGCTGTAGATACCCAAGAACTCGTCGTTTTGATTAATGAAGGGTATGAGCAGTGGCAGGAAAAGTGTGTTTTTATGTGCTTATTTCTCTTCAGGTCTTGCTCGGAAGGAGGATTTCCCATTTATCACTTATTACTGCCCGCATTGTCACGCCCTGAACAAACCAAAGCAATTGGATGAGCGTATATCTGATTTTGATTCCCCAAATATGGGGTCCCCAAAAACAGATGATGGTGAAGCAGTTAAAAATGCTAGTGCTTCCGCAGCTGACAGCATAATCAAAAGCAATAATCCCGTAAACGCTAGCCCTGAGATTGAGGAAGTATGTGAAGGGGCTAGTTTAGGGGAAGAAAGCTAGTTAAAAGGCTGCCTCATTTTGGGATGGGCTGTTGGAGTAACAATGTCTTCCCCTTGCCTTAGGACATGGACCAACTTTAAGGAGAGCGAGCAACTTTGCAATTGGTTTCCTTGGTTCACTTTGTAACAGGAAGTGTGTTGATATAATGATTTGAAATTTCTTGTGATTTATAAAATATAATACATAGATTACATGTCTTGCTTGTGAGTTGCGGCAATTTTGGATTTTTCTTTTCTTTGGTAAAATACACAACTATATATTTTTTAAAAGGATTAATATTTTTTCATATATATATATATATATATTTATTTATTTATCGGAGGGATCCATTTAAGGTGTGAGACTTAACATTCTTAGGCTTGAATGAATTTTTAATAATATTCTTATGCATGAAAGGAATTTTTTTTTATATATTTATATATGTACCACACTCCCTCACACAATAATTTGAACTTGAAGTCTGGACAATGTACCAGACTAATTCACAAGATTGGAGACGATAATGATTAAACCATATACCAAATTATAGACTATTTAATTATAAAGGCCTGATCATGTTAAAATAGTATGATAAGATACAAACTAAAAACCAGTAAATCTACTTAAAAAAACAGTAATCCTCATGTTTCAAATTTAAATTAAATAAGAAAATAAATATTGAAAAATAAAAAGAATAGGAAAATAATTAATAAGATATTTCATTTGATGTTTTTAAATTATTCTAAAATATTATCAAGATCTGTCTTATGATCAGATGTTTTTTGTATATTATAAAACCATTGTTAGAAACTTGACTTTAGTTGGTGAAATTGCATTTTATTTTAGAAGTTTGAAATTATGCGCAGCACTAAGATATAGGTAGGTCATTGATTACAGTAATGACGGAGCTAGAATTTGTGGCGAGGAAGTTAAATGATATGTATTTTAAAATTTATAATTAAATAAAAATACTGACCAATCTTATTTATTACATATTAATATTTTTATTTAGATAAACATTAAATATATATATACGATTAACAAAAAAAATAAAACAAATTTTATCATCCAATTTTAAGATTCTAATTTTATTCTTTTTATCTTATTTATTTATTATATAATAATATTTAAATAGTAATCAAATCTATTTGAGAGTGAAACTTATTTCTTCTGTTCAAGCTAGTTTTGTGCCAGAGAGACATATTCATGATAACAATATTATTGCTCAAGAACTAATTCATAGTATGCACCGTATGAAGAGCAAAAAGGCTTATATGTCTCTGAAGATAGATCTTGAGAAAGCTTATGAGAGGCTGAACTGGAATTTTCTCCAAAGGATCCTTGAAGAAGTGCATATTCCTCCTACTTTGAAGAATATTATTATGTCATCGGTCAAATCTCCTTCTATTAATATTCTTTGGAATGGTGGGTTGACTAAAGAATTCCAGCCATCAAGGGGTATTCGTCAAGGGGATCCAATTTCTCCGTATTTATTTGTATTAGGTATGGAAAAATTGTCTCATATTATTGACACTGCTGTCAATGGTCATCTCTGGCATCCAATTAGAGGTGGTAAAGGTGGTCCATTAATTTACCACCTCATATTTGCAGATGATTTAATGTTGTTTACTGAAGCTAGTGAGGAGCAAATTAATATTATGATGAAGTGCCTTAATCTGTTTGAGGATGTATCAGGTCAAAAGATTAGTTGCACGAAAAGTACTATTTACTTCTCAAAAAATACAGATGAAGATCTTGCAGCTCGGATTGCTAGAATTAGTGGATTCAAAAGGGTTAAGAATGTTGGTAGATATCTGGGGGCCAAGATGTGTCATGGCTACAGTCACCAAGCAGCATTATGAAGATATCATTGATAAAGTCCGGCAGAAAATGTCCGGTTGGCAAGCTAAATGCCTGTCACAGGCTGGGAGAATTACTCTCACTCAATCAGTGTTGTCCACCATTCCATCTTTCCATATGCAGTATACCAAACTGCCCATTGGAGGTGTGTAATGAGCTTGAAAAGCTTCAAAGACAGTTTATTTCGGGTGCTATCGAGAATACTAGACATATGCATCTTGTCAATTGGGAATCTATTACAAAGCCTAAGATTTATGGAGGCCTCGGCTTAAAGAAGTTGTCTGTTTTCAATGCTGCTTTCTTAGCTAAATTAGCTTGGAACATTTTTTCCAATCCGCAAGCTCTTTGGGTGAGATTTCTGTTGTCTAAATATGCTTCTAATCATTCTGGTTTGTATAGTTTTTCCTTCAGGAGTGGAGATTCAATTATGTGGAAAAATATTTGTTTGGCTTGGAGGAAGATGGATTATCACTCTGTTTGGGAGTTAGCAGATGGAAAAAGTGTTAGGTTTTGGCAAGATAAATGGGTTCCTAGTTTGGGAAGACTCATGGACAAGACTGCTAACCCAGTTCCTTGGGAAGAAGTCTCAATGAAGGCTGCAGATTATGTTACTGAGGCTGGTGACTGGGATTTGGATCGACTTTCACTCTGGTTGACTAATGAAGATATCCAAGTTATCATGAGCATTCTTACTCCTCACCCGCAGGATGGAAGTGACCTTTTCAAATGGAATCTGCCTGGTCAAGACGGAATCTCGGTCAAAGGTATTTATAATTGTTTATCTGATTTTGACTCTCATGAGAGTAATTCATCTATCCTTTGGAAAATCTTATGGGGTTGGAAAGGATCGTTTAGAATTCAACTGTTAATGTGGAAGTTTGCGCATAAAAGATTACTAACAATGAAAAGGCTTGCTGCTATGAATATGGGTAATCCTTTGTGTGTGCTGTGTAAGAAAGAGGAAGAGAATCTGTTACATGTGTTTAGAGATTGTGGTAGTATTTGGCAGAGATTACAGGCTAGCAAATTTTGTCCCTCTTTCTATTCTCTGTCAGAGGATGATTGGTTATTAGCTAATCTTCAAGTCAAGAGTGTGGATGGAAGGGGTGTACCTTGGAATATCTTGTTTGCTGTCACTCTTTGGCTTTCGTGGAAATGGCGAAATGATTTAATGCATAACAATATAAGCCCTTATCATGCTTATGACTATAATCTGATTTTACGGCAATCCAATGATATTTGGGAGGCTTCTGCAAAGATTAATTAGGGGGTTACTGCTACGGCTTCAAAGGAAATCTTGGTTCCTTGGAAATTTCCGGATGAAGGTTGGGTTAAAGTGAATACTGACGGTGCAGCCAAAGGTAATCCAGGTTTGGCTGCTTGTGGAGGTGTGCTTAGAGATTGTGCAGGAAATTGGCTCAACGGTTTCTGCTATAGAGTTGGTCATTGCAATGCCATAGTAGCAGAGTTATGGGGTATTTTGAAGGGCATTCAGATGGCTTGAGAAGGTGGTTGGAGAAAAGTTATTATTGAAAGTGACTCTAACATAGCTGTCATGTGGCTCAACTCAAGGGGTGGGCCAGCTTGTGAGTCTCATCTTGTTGCTCGCATACATGCATGATGGATAAAACTGGACTGTTAAGGTCCAACACTCATATAGAGAAGGAAATTGTTGCGCAGATTGGTTGTCAAATCTTCCTTTGGTTGATCCGGATCGAGCTGATTTTTGTTATTTTGGGGCCCCTCCCCCGGGTATTAGTCTATTGTATTTAGCTGATTTAAGTGATTTAAGTAGAACTCGTTGTATTTCTTCCTTTTAACATGTGGTGGGGTTTTAATCCCATCCAGTATACCAAAAAAAAAAAAATTTATTTAATTTTAAAATCCTAATTTAATTATTCTTAACTAATTTATTTAATATTTAATATTTAAATACACATAAAATATATTTGAGATTGACTAACAAATAAAACTAACTTTATTATATTTATAGACAAGTAATGATTTTCTCTCCAACTAACAATTAATGTAGCAATTTCAAAATAAAATCTGTCATATGAGATTTTTTTCTATAAATTATTGGAAATTATTAAACTCTATTTAAGGTTTTATAACTAATTTAGATTGGATACTGATTTTATATCCAACAACTATTGTTGGTGTATTTAATTAAAGGGGAAAAAAAGTTAAGAATGACTATTAAAAAAATATAAAAACAACTTTATAATTATTATTTTTGGGAAATACTACTCTCATTTTACATGAGATAATTATCTCATTTTGTCTCACTTCGAAAATCGCACCCATTCTTTTTTCTTTTTGTTTTTTAATGGTGGATCCCACTTCAATTCTCTCTATAACATGAGAGAAGTACTCTCATATAACATGAGAGTAATATTCCCCATACTTTATATTTTATATTAAAGTTATCATTTTAAATAATTGTTTCAAGCAAATTGTTGTTGATCCATTGACCATTTGAATATCTGCCCATTAATTGATTATATAAATTTGTATAAATTCCAATGAAATAAATCTATACAAGATTCAGTTACCATTAAAAAAGAAGAAGAATATTTTAGGTAAAAAAAATTTAATGGCACTGTACACGTTGTATTCATGGATATGCTTTGTTCACCTGACAATACCAGTGGTTAAATGGTATAAAAGAAGGTGAAGAGGTGTTACTGTTTTTCAAATAAAAGATCTCAACTCTCAAAACCACACCGTACACCACCTTTGTTATTTGTTATTGTTATTATTGTTATTGTTGTTTGTTGTTGATGTTGCTGTGACTCAAACTTGACCCATTCATTCAATTCAACCCTCACAAACCAAGCAAAAGCAATTGTCCCTTTCTCTCTCTCTTTTTCACTCTCTTTCCCTGCAAGCTGCAACCCTCTTTCTCTTTCTCTTCTCCCTTCGTACAAAGGTAATAAAAATTCACAGTAACAGTTCTCATTAATTTTGGGTGAAAGTTTGGAAATAAAAAAAATTATATATAAATTCTATTATTTATTTTTTCCTTTTGTTTTCTTCATTTCCCAATTCGAGAGTGATTTTTGATCTTGCAGTTGAAATCAGCTTATTTTTTCTCCTATCTGGTAACATCACAACAACTATTTCTCTACCTTAATATCATCGTTTTGGGATCATATTTTTTTTAATTGATTAATATTGTTGACAGTAATTTTTTTTTTTTTTTTTTTTTGGAATCGCATTTTCCTGTTTCTCTTTGGTTTTGTTTGGTGTTTTACCTGGTATAAAATTTCTAGGGTTCTTTCCAACTCAGGCTTCAATTTTTTTGTGATTTTTCGTGAATTTTGATTTGTGTTTGTTCTGAGGTGCAATGGATAGTGACTACGAATAAGTGAACTTGTGGTAATGTGTTTGCGTAGACAGGAACATAGCCACCGCTTTCTGTAAAATTTTCTGAAGTTTATTTGTTTTTAAATGATATTTATTATGAAATTATGTAACAAAATTTAATTTTGTTAAATTCATTTTCCATGATCATTATCTTGTGCTGTTGTTTTGTATTTTTGATTTGCATTGCTAGCATAATAAGTGGTGTTGGATCGACAGTTTTATATAGTAGGGCTTCACACATTAAATGAAACCAATATAACTTCCTGTTGGTATAGTTCATTTTTGCTATAATAAAATTTCAAAAATGGGTGTGAAAATGCTGTATGGATTCATTTCATTTTTTTTTTTTACCTCAAGGAAGTTAGTTTATTGTGGTTTTCTCAGGGTTAGGATTTTTATTCTACAATGAGTAGACCAACAACTCGAAGTAAAAATAAAAGGCAGAGACAGGGGGATGATGATGCCTGCACTTCTGAAATATGGAGGTACTAATAACTGATGTTATTTTTCTTTTTTAGCTTATGAAATGAAATTATAACTTATTGGTCCTCCCATCACACATTTATTGTTTTATTGTCCTCCTTGTGTAGGAAAATTCACAAAACAGGTGCAGTAACTGAAAATGATATGAACCAACTGTATATGATTTGGAAACCGGTCTGTTCAGGCTGTCGTGTTAATAATAAAGACAACCCGAATTGCTTCTGTGCATTGGTTCCACCACCAAATGGAACCCGGAAGTCTGGCTTATGGCAGAAGATGTCCGATTTTGTTGAAAGTTTTGGCCCTGACCCGACTCAGGATCTTCGTGCTTCTGCTAATTCACCTGCAGGTTTGACAAATCTTGGTGCAACATGCTATGCCAACAGTATACTCCAGTGCTTGTACATGAATAAATCTTTCCGAGAAGGCATATTTTCTGTAGAACCAGATGTTTTACAACAGCAACCGGTGTTAGATCAACTGGTTCGGCTTTTTCTACAGTTGCATTTTAGTAAAATGGCTTTCATAGATTCTTCTCCATTTGTAAAAACACTGGAGTTAGACAACGGAGTTCAGCAGGATAGCCATGAGTTCCTGACATTGCTTCTGTCATTGCTTGAACGTTGCTTGAGCCATTCCAAAATTGCCAAGGCAAGAACAATAGTTCAAGATCTTTTCCGAGGAAGTGTGTCTCATGTGACAACGTAAGAATTGTTGGTTATGAGATACTTATTGACTAATATAGAATCACTTTTTCTTAATTTTATTATAGTACAATTCTTCAATCTTTTTTGTGCGGATGGGGCTGTGAAATATTTTAGATTTGTCTAATATGTTAGAATTTTCCCTTTTATTTTTGATCCTTCCCGTGCCCCCTCCCACACTCCAAGAAAAAAGCCCAAATAACAATACTTGTGAGTGATGTAGATGTTGCTAACATGTAACACCTTAGATAATGCAATTGTTTGTTGGGTGCTTTTGAATCTTCCCACAAAATGCGTATTCAAGTTTGTTTTCTCTGAAAAAATGTTTTCATATTACCAAATAATGCTTTTGATTATCTTTTTGTGCTAAATTGTCTGTTAAGTTCGTCTTTGAGTGATGTTTGGTATTGATAATTGTAAAGAACCAATTCAACCAAAAAGCTTAAGCTGTTGGGTGAGGCTACATTAATGGTTTTATATATCTCAACACGCCCCCTCACACGAGAGCCCACTGGGCTTGAAGGGTGGACAATGCACAGGCCCACCTACCTGTGCGAACAAAGAAATTCCACTTGAAAGAAAGTGGGGGGCGGCGAGGATCGAACCCGGGACACGAGGCTCTGATACCATGTAAAGAACCAATTCAACCCAAAAGCTTAACGTAAAAACAGACATCTCATTGAAACTACCCTTCTTTTTCATATGCAGGTTCCCCTTCACTTCTGGGCAGATGCTGTACTTATCTCTTGTTTTCTCATCAATCGCATGCCCTCATCTGTGCTCAACAATGACATTCCTCATAACCTATTGCTTCCAGATGTTCCTCTTTATCCTCTAACTCCACATGTCTTTGGTTGTACTTGTTTTGTTCATGATCTCACTCCTGGTAAGGATAAGTTAACATCCAAAGCCTTTCAGTGTATCTTTCTTGGTTATTCTCGTCTTCAAAAGGGTTATCGTTGTTATTCTTCCGATCTTAAGCGTTACTTAGTTTCCGTTGATGTCACTTTTCTTGATCAACAACCCTTTAATTCTATCCCATCTCAGTTGTCACAGGTTGATCATGTTCTTCCTGTCCCTTTTCTTGACTTGTCTTTGCCAGCTGCAGGTGCTTCTGTTCCAGATGAGCAACCTATTGCTTCTATACCTGAGGACCGTCCACTTCTCACCCATCAGCGTCGCAAAACTGTGCCTCCTGTCGACTCGACTCTTGCTGACTCATCGCCCACTGCTGTTGCTTCTTCCCCTCCGAATCCTTCACCAGAGACTCTTCCCATTGCTCAAAGAAAAGGTACACGTACTACTCGTAACCCTTATCCTCTTTATACTTTTTTGAGCTATGACCGTCTTTCTTCACCTCATTTCACCTTTGTTTCTAGTCTTTCTTCTATTTCTATTCCTAAGACCACAGGTGAAGCACTTTCCCATCCAGGGTGGCGCCAAGCGATGCTTGATGAGATGACTGCACTTCATTCCAATGGCACTTGGGACCTTGTTTCTGCTCCTCCAGAGAAGTCTACAGTTGGTTGTCGCTGGGTGTTTACTGTGAAAGTTGGACCTGATGGCCATGTTGATCGACTCAAGGCCCGCCTAGTTGCAAAGGGTTTTACTCAAATATTCGGCCTTGATTATAGCGATACATTCTCTCCGGTCGCTAAGATGGCGTCAGTTCGCCTATTTCTTGCTCTTGCTGCTATTCGTCACTGGCCACTCCTTCAACTTGACATCAAAAATGCCTTTCTTCATGGTGATTTACAAGAAGTTTATATGGAGCAACCACCGGGTTTTGTTGCTCAGGGGGAGTCTGGGAAGGTGTGTCGTCTTCGCAAATCCTTATATGGTCTCAAGCAGTCTCCTCGGGCATGGTTCAGTGGCTTCAGTTCTGCTGTTCAGGAGTTTGGCTTAATTCGCAGTAAAGTTGTCCACTCGAGCTAGCTTTTGGGGTGGTGTATCCTAAGGTTCTTTACAATAATATATATAATGGTATTGGTTGTTCGGAATCATTTTCTCATTATTGGTCAAAAGCTAAGAAGCATGGGCACTGATATGGACAAAGGACATGACACTGACACAGACATGGTGACACAACAAAATTTGATTGTTCTCGTCTATTTTGTAGTATCCCGTTATGTTGTTTATAACATGAAGTGTCCGACATGTTTCCAGCACAGCCCTTTGAAGTGTTTATGCTTCATAGTTCAGAAGTGACTCTGGTATTTTATGTTCAAATTGTCTCAAATAAATTTCTTATATCTTCTACTTTCATGTTAGATATATGTGTGAACAGTAGTAGCTGTGTTTATGACTATTACACATTTCTTAATTTTATCACTTTATTATGCAGGTGTATGCAATGTGGAAGAGACTCTGAAGCTTCTTCGAAAATGGAAGACTTCTATGAGTTAGAGTTGAATGTGAAGGGATTGAAAAGTTTAGATGAGAGCCTAGATGATTACCTTACTATAGAAGAGCTTCATGGAGACAATCAATATTTTTGTGAGTCGTGTAAAACAAGAGTTGATGCTACTCGCAGCATCAAGCTATGTACATTACCAGATGTACTTAATTTTCAACTGAAACGTTATGTCTTCCTTCCAAAGGTATTGTGAATATGTTGAGTTATTGTTATTATTATTAGTGAGCATTATACAACTAAATGCCATGTCATTTTCCATTGTTCACTTCTTTTTTGTTTGATCGTAGTTTTTTTTTTTTTGGGGGGGTGGGTGTTATAAGAGAGGAATAAGTATTATTGTATTAGGCTAAGAATGATAGGGAACTCACCGGAAGAATAATTATCCTATATAGAATTAGAAAACTTAAATGGAAAATTATCTATCTCGTTAAGTATCTACTGGAGTGTGCTCTGAAAGTCCTTGTAATGGAAGATCATTGAGGAACCTTTTGATGACTTTATCTTGCACAGTTATGAATACAAATTCTGGCCTTACAAAAGTAGAATTCCTCTTTGCTCATGTGCACCAGTGTCCTGAGTGTCATTCTATCAAAATACGTTTCCTGTCCATGCCAAAGCCTTAAATCAAATAAAAAAATCCCTACAGTGTGTGATCACCATTTAAACTAACATCTTGGTGTAAATGCTTTTACAGAAAGAGCAATGCAAGAACCTTGATCTGTTTTTCACACATGGGAATATGCGAGCTTTGATTTCTTCTTCTTGTTTCTGATTCTGCTTTATGTACTTCTTTCTTTTAGGAGAATATTTTGTCTTCTTTAATAAAGTTTCAACTTTTGTAAAAGGATAATAAGAAAGAACTTTGAATGATTAAAAAGAATAGATGCTTGATTTACTTTGCAAACCTGTATGGTGCCTCATAATAAGGTTAATGGCATATTATTGCTGATTTCTTGGACAAATTTTGAAATTCTTTCTTGGGGTAATGATCATGCAAGAGTAGTTTTCTGAAGTGAAAAACTATGTTAATAGTTATATGCTTTTTCTTTCTTTGAGTGGTCTTCATGTAAGTAAGAGTGGTTTTGTATACCTGTTTTTTTTGTAATTTTTTGTCTCCTGCTTTGGAGTAAATTTTGATTTTCTGTATCACTAAATTGTTTTCTGATAAATGTTTTCCTTTATTCTTCTTTTTCCTCTGACAGACAACAACAAAGAAGAAAATTACTTCTGCATTTTCATTTCCAGCTGAACTTGATATGCGCCATAGATTGTCTGAGCGATCTCAGTTTGGATTGATATATGACTTGTCAGCTGTACTGATTCACAAGGGAATGGCTGTTAATAGTGGTCATTACATTGCTCACATCAAAGACGAAAACACTGGGCAGTGGTGGGAATTTGATGACGAGCATGTTACTAATTTGGGTCGTCATCCATTTGGTGAAGGAGCCTCATGTCCTACTTCTAAATCTGTTAAGACTGATGTAGCTCATTCTAATTGCTCTGAGGCAAGGACAGCTGTCAGCAATGGAAATGGTTTAGAAGCCTCTCATTCACAATATTCGCCTGTGGAGACATTTTCATCTAGTGATGCGTACATGTTGATGTATCATCTTAAGCGTACCAAAAATGTTGGTGAAAAAGGGGGCATGGTTTGTGGTGCTAATCATAAAGAAAGAGAGGGTGATGCAGTTACTGCACAAGACGATGCTTGTATCCCTTCTCATCTTTGTGAAGAGATTCAAAATTTCAATGCCTCATACCTTGATACTTGTAAGCAGTACAATCATAAGAAAGAGTTAGAATTGAGTCGTATCAATGAGAGGAGACAAGAAGTTCGATCTGTTCTAGCTGAAGCTCCTGTCCAACCATTGGAGCAACAATTTTTTTGGATTTATAGTGACTGGCTTCGTCAGTGGGCTGACAACATTATTCCAAGGTTAGGGCATACTTTTTATGGTATTCTTGGCCATGAACACTTAATGGTTTTTTTTATTTTATTAGTGTCAGGCCAAATTCTTTCCTTTGAGCGTTCCTTTCCTTCTGTCAGTTATTAGAGTAGGGTTATTTCACTTAATTTATAGGGTACTTATTTTTTGATGTTAATGCAGTTCTGTTGACAACACATCTATCCAATGTTCACATGGGAAAGTCCCAGTGTTAAAGGTTACCTCAATGAAGCGATTGTCTTCTAAAGCATGGGATAAGTTATTGTCTAAGGTAGCTGTATTTTCATTAGTTGTTATATGTTTGATACATGCTTCATCTTTTTCTTTGTCATTGATTTTGGAGCTCCTTTCTTAAATCAATATGACAAAGGCTGATTGGGATTATTTATGAAGGATAATGTGGCTTGGGAATATTTTAAATTGGAAATGATATTCATGTTTTGTTCCATTTTACATATTGTGATGGATAATACTGGTAGTAGAGATGAAAAGAAAATTTATGCAGAGCATCAGCAGAGAAAATCTAGTGTCCTATAGTTGGGTTACTGAAGAATTTATAGTAGTGGGCTGTTTATGTCATGAAGCACCAAGCTTACCTTATTTCTTGTTGGTGATGTAAGCAAGGAAACTGTTGACATACATGGGTCTGAAGGAGGAGAAACATTTTGACAAATGAAAGTCTTTGTGAAGTAGGTCATTTATTGTGTTTGTTGATGCGAGAAGGAGAATGCAGGGCACTTGTCTGAATGAATTACATTGTACATAAAAATAACAGGAAGTTTAAGCTTATATTGAGAGATTTGGAAGCTGTTGATTTAGTTATGGTTTATTCATATATATCTCCTCCTATTTTGCCGTTGTTGCTGATATTATGTTCATAATGTGTTTCCTTTATTGGCTTGTAAAATTCAGTATGGTGGGGGGCCAACACTTTCTCATGAGGACTGCTGTTGGGATTGTCTGATTGATGAGGCTCAGAATGTGGTGTCAGCTGACACCTATCGGGATCGAAGAGAATCATTTAAGCAACTTGCACGAGATATTCTTGATGGAAAATGTGAAGATGGAAAGTACTATGTGTCTAGACCATGGTATGATTGCAAATCTTTCTCCTTCCATTTATGCTCCTAAAAATGGGATAAGGGGTGATGTGGATAAGTTTTCTATTTTTTGTCTTGTCATGGAAATAGACAAATAGTAATGTTTTGAGTTTGACTGGCCCAGTCAGAGAAATCTATCACCTGCTCTGATCAATTTTAATTTCTTTAAGCTGTTTGGATAGTTCAAAGTAATGATACCAAAGCCTGTTATGCTGATAAGTTTACTTTTGTAGGTTGCAGCAATGGTGGAGAAGAAAAGTCGCTGATGCTCCATCTGAAGCTGATGGTGGACCAACAGCAGCCATTAGTTGTCCACACCAGCAACTTATGCCTGAGCTAGCTGCTGGTGCTAAGCGGGTGCCTGTTCCGGAGGGTTTCTGGCTCTTTTTATATGACGATGCCATTTCTGTAAAACCTGATGATCTTCTAGGTTGCCCTACTTTTCCTTTAGACTCCAGAGAGTGTTCCCAGTGCAGTAATGAACTATCTGATGTGGCTTGCTTGGAGGACTCTTTGAGGTTATTTCTTTTGTATATGTATTGCTAATAATATAGATCTGATATAGACAAATTTTAAAGTGAATTCTATTTTTATGCTTCAGATTAGTAAAACAAAGGCAGCGCCAGAATCATGAGAAACTATTTGTCGGTAAAAGTTTGCCGCTTTCTCTACATTGCAAGTATTTCTTAGTTCCTTCATCGTGGATTTCAAAATGGAGAAATTACATTAATATAGCTGTCAAGAATTCAGATAAACCTGAAACTTTAGATGGGATAATTGATTCACTGGTGTGTGAAAAGGTACTTTGTTACTTCACTTGCTTATTTGTCATGTTTTGCATCGTCTTCAGTGGTATAATTGTGGTTTGATTTTGTCTTAATTTAGTATGCTGCATTTGGTTAAATTTGAGTTATATTTTCAGATATGCAGTTATTATAAGATGATTTACATTGAAAAATTATTCTATGCAATATGTGTTAGGGACTTTAGTCGGAGATTCTAACACTTCAATTGATGCTGTGATTGAGTCTTCACATATATGACATCTTTATTCTGTCAAATTTAATCCATTGCAATTCCGTGATGAATTTTGTTCCTTTTCTCTTTGTCTTCAGCACTCACAACTCATTCAAAGGCCTCCTGAACTGGTTTTTAGACGCGGTGCTATAATCCCAAGAGAGTCTTCTGTAAGTACATACATGCATGCAATGTTATGTCATTATCTCATTTACAGAAAATAGGTTGACTAATTTTAGTATGTTTTGAATCCTTGTTTTTAAAATCACAAAAATAAATAGTAAGTTCCCAATATCAAGTTGCTCTTTCTCTGTTTCAAGAGTAAGTTCCCTCCATTTTCGAGAATTTTTGGAAATAAATAGTTAAGTTCCCTCCATTTTTGCATATCAATGTGACTTTGTGCTTTTCTGTCTTCTTGTTTCTCAGTCTTACTTCTGTCCACTTTGTGGATTCTAGGCAGGTGGCTTAACCTTCATATCTGAGAATGATTGGAAATACTTCTGTGAAGATTGGGGTGGTATTGAGACCAAAGGAATATCTGCTAGAATTGAGAATATTAATGATTCAGAGAATGTTGTGACTGGAACCTGTGAAGAAAGGCCGGTAATATGTGAGGATCAGTTGGACACTTGGGATAAAGGGAATGATGAATTCGGGAATGGACACATTGTGATCAAGACTTGTCCTGAGGTATTCCAAAACTCTGCTGCATTCTGTTGGATTTGCTATTTCAGGACCCGACCCTGCTTTTGTTGCACATCGGTTTTTTGTTAAGTCTTTCAGAATTATATACATACATATATTACTCAAATAAGCCATTATGGTTTTTTTTTTCTGTTAATTTATATGAAACTAAATGTTCATGCTCACGTTTTTCTGTTGTACTCAAATGGTCATGTCCGTGAGTTTTCTTTTATTCCTGTTACCTCTCTTCGACAAATTCATAGTACTATTTACCTTTGTCTGAAAAAAACTTCGGTGTTTTAGTGCGTGTTTCTGAATGAAAGCAATCATGTCTCCAAAAAGCTGCTTCAGTGCATGTAACTTGACTGGAAAAAAATTTGTACTTGAGTTGGTAATTTGATTGGTCTGTATGTGTTTTATTCAGGTGAATCTATATAGTTATTCACTCCCATATTTTCTCCCACATAAATTCTGTAACAACTTTTGTAGTCAAATTTTTATGTTATTTATTTATTTATTCTAAATCTGATATTCTTGTACCAAATTTACCAGAATATTTTCTTTCTCCTTATTGGATAATACATAATAGATTTAATTTTCATTAGAACTATAATTTACCCCCTCTCAATATGCAGGTTTGTGAAAGCTGCATAGGAGAAAGGGAAAGCTGTGAGTTAATGCAGAAACTTAACTATTGCAATGAGGAAATATGTGTAATTCTTGTCCGCGGAAAGGAGGTCCCTAGATCAATCTTGGAGGCATCAAAGGGCTTTGTTGAAATGGATCGGCGGGTTTCCAAGCGCTCCCGGAAGACTAAAAACGGGAGTTCAATTAGTCTAAAAGTTTCTGCTTCAACATCAATTTACCAGCTGAAAATGATGATATGGGAATCGCTTGGGGTAAGCCAAGTTTGTGCGGTATGCATATCATTAAGTTTGAATGTTGGCTATCTAAGCTCATGTTGTTACATAGCTAGGACTTTATAGGATATTTTTACTTTTTATAAAAACCATTATTCGGCCCTTAGTTGCTTAATCTTTAAGGCTCTTAAACATTGTACTGAAGAACTGTGTCATATAATCTAATTTTCCGTAAAGAGTAGTGTCAAAGTTTCAGCCGTGGAAGCTGAAACTCCAGTATTTGGATTAAGGTCTCTGGACTTGCTGTGAAAGCATTTCATATCAAGGTGAACCAAAACTGACTTAGATTGACTCGCGTGAAGGATATGTGTGGTTTATCTAAAAAAACTGAGATGGATTAGACATAAATTAGGAAATGACAGCTTGCTAAACTGAGAATAGAGAGTGGGAATGGGATGGAAGAAATATGATTTTCCCTTTTCTTACTTTGTAAAGGGTGGAAAATTACTTTGAACTCACTTTCATGCTTACATGAAAGGCCAAAGTTTGTGGTTATAATTTAGTTGTACTCTACTTTCAACTATCCCCCTGCTTTGTTGCATCAAGATAGTGCGAGGTGAAATTCTTTCTAAATTTTTTGCTTTCCTATATAAGTAGGCTTGACATGAAATAGGTGAATATTTTGGTTGACATGCGAGAGAAGATATTAATAGGTCACACAAATGAAATGACATTTATGGAGGTGGTTGGGTAACTTGTGTTCACTTTTCTCAAAAGATTGGTCAGTTACGAAGGCCGTATCAATCTATATATTGCTTTTTTCTTATCTTTCCCTCCCTTTTTTGTGGATTAGTTTGTATATTGCTGCAATCAATTCAATGCTTCATAATGTCTAATTTTTATTTCCCCCACATCTGGTAATTGTCCTCATAGGTTGTCAAGGAAAACCAGATACTACAAAAAGGTGATAGAACAATTGATATTGATGACGAATGTGCTACTCTTGTGGATGTAAACATATTTGCTGGAGATCAGATTATAGTGAGGGACTCTGAGATCCATGAAAATCGAGATATTGCTGGTAAGCTATTAGATGATGGTACTTGACTATCTTTTTCCTTATATATACAGAAATGGTCATATTCATATTTTACAGATGAGCTTTGTGAGGAGAAAATGGATGCACAGCATACCGAGGAAGGGTTTCGTGGAACACTTCTGACATCAAATGTTTCATCTCAGGTTGTTTAGGAAGAGCACTTTCGGTGGTGTCATCTTTTGTAACTTTTATTAATGTATATATATCTAAATTCCAAAGAAAAAATCATTTATATATATCTAAATTAGTTTGGTACAATTTTCAACCATGTAAATCCGTGTGTCCTATGCCAAGATAATGGCAAATTTTGGAATGTATTTTTGTTTTTTTGGGTTTTGGTTTATATATATACCAAAGTGATTTATAGTAGTGAAAATCAAATTTAAGCATTACAAGCAAAGTGTATCAATCTTACAGTTCAGTCAATCTCTATTGGCATGTTTTTCCTTATTAGTTACTTGAAGCGGAGCACACATTTGATTGCGCTAGTTAATTGCTCTTTCAAAAATTAAATAAGGTAGTTATTTTGAATAGAAAAAAGATTTTCTATTCACACATTCCCTTTTCTCTCTCGAAGGTTTGATAAATCATAAACCTTGTTGAGGATTTAGAAGAATAGTAGGAGAAAATACATGTAAAATACGAAAGCTGTGAAAATTATAATTAAATTGGTATTCAATAAGAAAATCAAAATCAAGTTTATAAAATGTGTAAATATATTGAGAGACTTTATCATAACATTTTGGAAGATAAAATGATAACGCTTTTTTTCTTAACACACACCAATTTGATGTTAAAAATAAATAAATAAAAATTACAACACCGACATTTAATTATTTTAATTGAATCACGTTAAGGAGGATGAGAGGCGGCTATACATCTTGATTTTTATTTTAATAAACAACAAACTAACGTAGTTAATTATATATACATTTTCACTTCTAACTCAAACCTTTGTGTAAATACAATTATTCATTGTTGTATTGTCATATCATTTGATAATTTTGATATCTTATATAATTATTAATATAGTCAAATTCAGTAAACGAGATACTAACACAATATTATATAATACTAACATTTATTTTACAATAACCATGAATCAAAATTAAACTCTAATAAAAATATCCAATAAAGAGCTAAAGCGTGCGTTTGACCCTTAAATATCCAATATCCAATAACCATGAATCATATATATGTGCCCTTGCATATCATTATATAACTATTTGTATATATCCGGTTTTGACCCTCTTATCATACAAAATTCTTTACTCTGCCTCTTATTATAAACTTAAATAGCACCTGACTGATGATTAAGAATGTGTATTCTTTTCCTTAATTCTTCGAGTTAAAACGTGCGGAATAATCATCTTATTCATTGTTTTAGCACAAAAGTAGCAATAAGAAATAAACGGTAGGCTAGTCCCTAAAAATAAAACAGAAGAATTATCAAGTAAAATAATAAAATACTTAAGTAGGAATTTTGATTCTTTTATCATAATGTCTTCTTTGTTTTTTCGGGAAAGGAAAAGGTAGCCTTCAAAACAACTGAAAGAAAATTTAATTCATTTTATCTCCAGAATACATTACAATGTCCCTTTTGTTTTTATCTCTTGCAGAGGGAAATATTCAATTGTGTTCACAAATCAAACAAAAAAGTATATAAATATAAAACAAAATTTCTAAATCCAGCGTTTATGATTTCGAGAGTTGGGTGCACCTCCGAACCATCGATCCCAACCAGCATCGACCGAACCTTTGGTCCTGCAAACATGTTACATGTCATCAATTTATATCCTTTCTTTTTCTATTTGGTCAAGAATAATATATACTTTCTTTATAGTATTAAAAAACACACACAAATTAACACAACATTAGATCATTAAATATAAAAGTCATGGCATCAAGATGATATCTTACAACGGAAGAAGTGGATCAGGAATGGATTCAACGCTTGAAATGACACTGCAAGAGCACAATGAATGGAAAATCAATTTAGATGATTAAAACTAATGAACATAAACACTATTGTTAATGAACAAAATAAAATAAAATGTAATTGTCTTATTTTGCTTTGCTTACTCCTTGCAAACAGTGGAGGATTCACCTATTGTTTCAAGTTGTGTTAATTCTTCCTGCACCATCACAGATTCATAATCAAATTCTTCTTCTATTTACACATATGATTCAAATTAAACAAAATAAAATCGATCACCTAATTGATACAAAATGAGAGAAATGATATAAAGGGTAACAAAAGCCAAAAGGGTTGACCTGCATAATAGTGATTTCGTTATTGAGGTGAGTTATGGCAGCTTGCAACCTATGCTTCCCAAAGAAAGCAGGGAAAGACCCAGTTGCAACTTGATTCAGGGAATGATGACCCTTTTCTCTCCCTTCTGTGTAATCCTCTGATACTCTTCCATTTTCTGCTGATGGTTGCTGCCCCTCCATGGCCACCCCACCACTTTGTTACAAAGAAAGCTAAGTCTATTATCAAACTCACAAACCAAACCCCATATTGCAATTGGAAGGAAGGAAGAAAAAGTGTTGAGGTCAAAAAAGGAGGGAGGAACATGACTTAAAGAGAGGGAGAGGACCAAAGGGATTAATTAAATAACCAAATGATACGAACAAGTGGAGGGTTGGGGGGGTTTGATTATGGATTATCTCTGAGAATTAGTGTACACTAATTTATTGCAGAAAAAGGTCATGTTGTTAATTAAATTGTTAATATTATACGGAGAAGATTATATTTATTATTATTTTAGTTTTTTTATTAGCTGGTTGGTTATTACTGGGTCAATTTAAAATTAATGATATTTGATTTTTTTTTTTTTAATTTCAAATTAATTCAACAATAATCAATCAGGTAGTAAATATAGTAAGACTAAAATGATAATAAATATAATCGTCTCTATATTATATTGGTGGGTAAAAAAAGAAAAAAAAAGAATGCAAACAGAATTATTTTCATCAATTACAACCACGTAATAGTTGATATAATAACAAATTTTTTTTTTTTTAAAGTATAACATTTTAGACGTACTTAAAGTTAAAATGAAGTAGCTGCCTAAATTGTGAGATTTGGACAGCAGTGCTGGCAACAGCTAGCCATAAGGACATGGCATGTGAAAACCCGATAAGAAGAAAACGTGACACGACTGGATTTTAAAAGGGTGGCTCCTTTTCTCTCTCTCTCTCTCTGTCTCTCTCCCTTCATTTAAATTCTTCAGCTTCCAATTGCAGACTTTACTAGACTTTAAATAGTTGTTCTATATTGGGTTGACAATACAATAAAACCTAGTAAGAAATGCTACATACGCAACATAACATGACTCAAATGTGAGCTTTAGCTTTTTTCACGTCACACTACTACTTACTTAACATACCATTTTATTCAGAACAATTTCAAGAATTAATTATTAAAGGACCAACATTGCATAAGATATTTCAATTAAGAAAATAGTTGAAAAAATAAATGTATTATACATATTTCGAAGTTGGACTCAATGTTCTCTCATATCGTAATTTCATAAAAAAAATTAGTGTCAAATTTGTTAAGAGAAAGGAAAAATGATTTTTTAATATATATAATTATTAAATCCTTTCAAGCCTTGTTGTTTAATAAACTATATAGCCATCCGTGTTTAAAAAAAAAAAAAAAAAATTCCCCTTTATTGAAATGAATATGCTTAAACTTCCTTCGCATCTTTCTATTTTAACTTGGACATATCTCTTAGGATTGAAGGGCCTAAGCTGAAGAGAAGGGCTAGAGCCCCTTCGTGGGCCAAGGATTATATTGTGTAGTTAGCCCAACAAGATAGTCGGGGGTGTTACAATTGCAGACAGAGAATATGGAAATATGAATTATCATTTGAGTAAGAATGAATCAAGTGTATTTTAAGTTACACTGTTCACACATATATATAGTGTGAACTTAACAGTAATGCTGAGCAACAGAAAACGACTAACTAACTTCCTAACTAAACTAACTAACCGATACTTAACACCCCCTCAAGTTGGGAGGTAAATGTCATGAAGTTCCAACTTGGACAACAAAGCATGGAATGAAGCTGGATGAAAAGCTTTTGTGAAAGTATCCGCGAGTTGCTGCTTGGTTGAAATTGGAAGTAAATGAATCAAACCTTGGACAATTTTTCTCACAGGTGAGATGACAGTCAAGCTCTATATGCTTGCTTCTTTCATGAAATGTGGGATTGTGAGCCAAATGTATGGTTGCTTGATTGTCACATTATATTTTGGTTGGACCATTAACGGCAACACATAGGTCATGAAGAAGATATGTAAGCCATTGTACTTCACAGGTCAAAGTTGCTAATGCTCGATACTCTGCCTATGTTGATGAGCGACTGATTGTGGTTTGTTTCTTAGATTTCCAAGAAATCAACGATGATCCAAGGAACACACAAAAGCCTGTAGTGGAACGACGAGTATCTGGGCATGTGGCCCAATCAGCATCCGTGAATCCTGTGAGGGCAAGTGAGTTCTGAGAAGGAAAGAAGAGCCCTTTTCTTGGAGATCCCTTGAGGTATCTCAACACTCGAAGAGCAGCATTAAAATGAAACTTCATAGGCTGCGCTATAAACTGGCTCAGTTGTTGTACAACAAAAGAAATATCAGGTCTGATGTTTGTTAGATACAAGAGACGTCCAACAAGGCGACGATAGGCTGCAGCATCATGGCAAGGCTCTCCTTGGTTTTGAGATAAACGAAGTGTGGCTTCCATTGGGGTAGAAACAGGTTTTGCTCCAATCACACCACTATCAGTCAACAATTCAAGTGTATATTTTCTCTTATTTAAGATTATGCCTCGTTGAGAACGAGCAATCTCAAATCCTAAGAAGAAATGAAAAGGACCTAAGTCCTTGATCTTGAAAAGCTTATCAAGATGTTGTTTGACAGGTTGTATCTCGATCATGTTGTTACTAGCTAGGACCATGTCATCAACATACACCAGAAGTGCAGTGAAAGAATCATGAGTAGCTTTGGTGAATAGAGAATGGTCTGCATTTGATTGAGTGTATCCAAGAGAAATGAGTTCTGTGGTCAGTCTCATGTTCCATTCTCTACTCGCTTGCTTAAGTCCATAGAGGGACTTTTGAAGCTTGCAAACTTGCTGGGGATTTGGTGCAGAAACTCCTTCAGGTACAGACATGTAAACATCTTCAGTAAGATTGCCATGAAGAAAGGCAATATTGATGTCAAGTTGCTCCAAAAACCAAATTTAAGATGTTGCAATAGCTAGAAGAAGCCCAATGGTGGTGAGTTTGGCAACTGGTGAGAAGGTTTCAAAATAATCTACTCCCTCCAATTGATTATAGCCTTTTGCCACAAGTCTTGCTTTGTAGCGAGAAATTGTCCCATTTGAATTGTGTTTTATTTTGTACACCTATTTTGAACCAATTGGTTTCTTACCTTTGGGTAGATACGCAAAAATCCATGTATTGTTACTGTTGAGAGCATTGATTTCTTCCCTCATAGCAGCAACCCATTCAATGGATTGAGCTGCCTGTTTATATGTATGTGGCTCAATTGAAGAGCTGATATTATTATAGAATGTGGAATATGCAACAGAAACACGATTGTAGGACATAACAAAGGAGATAGGATAGAGACAAGTACCAGAATTTTGATGAGGTGAAGTAGCATGACATCCAGTGATTAAGTTGCAATGGTAGTCCTGAAGGTGTTTAGGTTGAACTTTTACACGAGTAGATCTCCTTGGAAGAGGAGGAATTGATGTATTGTCCAAGGATACATGAGTGTCAGAATCCAAAGAAGTTGATATATAGGAGTTGTCTGAAACAAGATTTTCTGAAACTGGAATCTAATGCTCAACATTAGTGACATCTTTAGGAACAGATTGGTCAGGTTCAATATGCCCTTGTCATGGAGGCATATCATACAATGTAGAAGAATCAACAGTGAGAGGCCAAGGGAAGTCTTGCTTGGATTGTTTGACTCTTGCTATTTTCTAAGGTTCTTTCTAATGGCGGATCAGAGCCCTGACAATCAAGAATCAGTAGCAGATCAGAATTTGAACTTAAGCACAGCCTCAAGAAATGCATCAAACGTTTTTTATGCTTCAAATACAGGTAGTCCTTATTTTTTACATCCTCATGATAATCCTTCTCTTGTATTAGTCTTAACACTCATGAATGGTAAGAACTACCATGGTTGGGCTAGAGCCATGAAAATGGCCTTAATTTCGAAGAACAAGCTATTGTCAACTCTTCACAAGCTATTGCCAAGGAAAGTTAGTTAGTTGTGTCGTTTTCTGTTGGATCTGGTACCTATATTGCTCCGTTCACAAAGAAAAGCTTGTTCTTCTTATCAACCGAGGATTCATACAGTCACTTCGCTGATCTGATTTTTATATATTAAAAATATATAAATATATATGCTATGTGAAAATTTTTAAAAAATCTAAAAAATCAAATCATCAATCATCAAAGATTAAAAATATACTTAACATAATTCAACAAATTACATCTACAAGTCAATATTATACAAGCCAATCAAGTATCAAAATATCAAAGTATATAACATATATTCTAATGAAGTTAATACAACGTTATATTATCAAACTCAGGTCATACTTGTCAATTTCTCAATTCACTATTGTTGCGAAACAATTTAAAAGTCTTAGTTTGCATTATTTTTTATCTGATATATTCTTGATATGAGAGTAAATACATCAGGGTCAGACACTGGCGGACCCAGCCATGGGCAAATGTCCGCAAGTGCCCACATAAAATTTTGGATTTTAGCTTCTTTTTTTGTGCTTTGTAGGTCTTTATTTGTCTCTTGATTCAATATTTATATTAGGAGTAAATATCTTTTTAAGTTTCTAATAAAAAACATGATCTTCACTTTAGTCCCTTATCACAAATTAGTCTCGAGGTCCCTAAGAAATTCGAAGTGGATCAATTTAGTTAAAATTGTGGTTCTTCACAAATTCAAAAAAGACCTACATTAGTCCCTCAAAAAGACTAAAATGAGTCCACTTTAAATTTCATAAGTACCAGGTAACTACTTTTTTTTATAATAGACTAAAGTGGGTACCGAATTTTTTGTTAGGGACCAAAAATGATATTTATTCTTATATTAGTTAGCAACGTAGCAACGTACAAAGATGATTAAAATAACGTAGCAACGCAAATTGATTAGAGAGAAAACTTATTCTTCCTCTCCTACCATGTACCCATTCTCACGCTCTCTTCATCCTTTGTTTCCTTTCTAGACGAGACCTTCACTGTGATTTTGCTTGCCTTCTGTACAAGTAGTGTTGACTTTTTTATTCACCACTATAAAATAGCATGATGATGTATGGATGTACTGGAGTATATTCACATATTTGTTTTGGAGGATTGGTAAGATTTAAGAGAAAAAAATGATTGGTCAAACTATTGCCTGCAGCTTGTTATGGAAGCAACTAGATTATGAGCGGGTTTAAGCGTTAATTTAAACTTTTTACAAAAAAAAATTCGGGGGCGCTGCCCCTGAACCCCCGCCACTAAATGTGCGGACATAAACAAATTTTCCTGGATCCGCCACTGGGGTCAGATAAAGAATAATACAATAATATTAGACATGTTCAAAGCAGAGAAACCAACAAAAAGAGAGAGTGAATTAGTGAAAAAAAGAACCACCGCAAGGGAGGAGAGTCGGCGATGCGACAAAGAGGGAAGATCGAATAGGCATAGCCATGGAGGAGAGGAAAGGAGGAGAAATCACCACGGTGGGAGCATATCTTTAGTGCTACTGGAGTATGTATTCATTTACTAAAAATAAAAAAAGGTAATGGTTTAGGGGAAAATAACCATACAAGGAAGGATAAAATGGTAAGAAAAATATATTATTTTTTCCAAATTGAGTAAATGATGCATTGAGTCTTCAATACTCCCATAGTACCGAAGATATTTCCCCTCGGTGGAGTGGAGGAGAGGAGGAGAAACTAATGAGGTGAATGAGATTTAAGTTAGCAGCAATTTTTTATATATATAAAATAACGTTTCTTGTGAATTAAAAAAAAATGTAGTGACCCTTTCTGACTCGGAGGTCACTGACCCAGTTTGGTTTCGGAGGGCAGAGAGAGTCAACGTGCATGCAGAGACTTTAATTGTTGACTCTAACTCTTAGAAAGAGGGGATCAAGGTTGACTTACCGGACAGGATTTTAAAACACTAATAAATCCATTATATTTATTATATATTTTTCAATAAATTAAATTTAATCGATTCCGACTAAATGAATAATTGGTGGGAGTTTGATATGATTGGCCAAACTTGAAAGAATTTATTTTCTTTGTTTGATATTATATTAATAAAAAATAAAAATACAGGTAAATAAACGTTAAATATAAATATATATTGCAATTATTCTAAAACACTATCTGTCTGTTACCGCGCCGAGTTTAGGTCTGGAATGGAGGAACATACACTAAACATATGAAGGTTAGGTTTGTAGCCGTTTGGTTCTTTCTGATAGTTTAGGACCAGAAGCATAAATCACGATAATGGCAATGATGTCCAAGATATCATCACTATTATTATCAGCATCGCCCAAACCTAAACTCATTTACCACAATTATTTTTCAAGTAGCAGCAGCAGCGTTGCCACCACTATCAGAAAACAGAAGAAGGTGAAAGCAGCAGCGTTGGCGAAGGAGAAGAGAAGGACCCGTTCCGACAAACAATTCGACAAGGACTCTATAATCGAGCGTTGCTACGGTGAAGATGGAGGAGAAACCTTCTCTCATACTCATACTCATACTCATACTCATATTCATATCCCTGTGATGCTTGCCGAAGTGTTGGACGTGTTCTCCAACTCCTCCTTAACCTCCTTCGTCGATTGCACCCTTGGTGCCGCCGGCCACTCCTCCGCCGTTAGTATCACTCTATCTATCTATCTATCTATCTATTATCAATCCATGCCTTTAATTTCTGCATTTTTTATTTTATTTTTTTTAATTTTTAAAAGTTATTGAATGAAATGAAAATAATAATAGGTGATTAGGTGTCATCCGGAGTTGAAGTATTTTGTTGGGATGGATGTTGATCCTGTGGCACATGAAATGGCTAAAGCTCGATTAAGTGGTTTCTCCTCTGGTGTTAAAGTGTTTACTGTGTTAAGGAATTTTAGACACATAAAGTCTGTACTTAGAGAAACTGGTGAGGAATACTTGGCTCCTGCTGCTGTTGATGCCATCTTAATGGACTTGGGAATGTCCTCCATGCAGGTTCATTTCATTTCTCAACTTTGTATTAACTTAACTTCCTTTTTTGTCCTCCATGTCATGGTTTTAAATTGCTATTCGGCTCTCAATCTCTCAAACCACAATATTGTGTTGTGGCCTCAATTTAAAGAATTTGACTACTTTAAAGTAAGGATTGCACTTTAGAGGGAAAAATGTGGAGTCATAAGGTTTCTCAACAGCTGAGATTGTGATAAAATACATGGATATGTATAACAAACAATAGTCAAACCAGGATGGTATCTATATCTAATCATATGGCACTAAAATTTGTCGTTGAGTATTTTGAATCTTTTAAAAGTCTTGATAAAAGAATTTTTTTTTTTTTTTTTTTTTTTTTATATTTTTGTTTTAGGTGGACGATCCTCAGAGAGGATTCAGTGTGCTTGGTGATGGACCCCTGGATATGCGTATGGATCCTCAGGTATATATGTATAGTTTCAGGCACTTTGGAGTTCTATTCAAAATTTTATGCTATTTTGAGAAAGAATAGATCGATGGTTGTAAATTGTTTTTAGTAGATTACATGCAATGTTTGTTGCTGACCCAATTGCAGGAGTGAAAACTGAAAAGTGCCGGGGATGGCATCAGATAAAAGTTGTTGCTTTTCTTTTTAGTCTCCTTGCTTAAATGAGATGGTTCAACCCAAGACAAACGTTGCTATTTCTAAAATACCTTTTGTAGATATATGGCCTGACTTATGAATCTATCTAAGCCATGCTGGAAATTTCTTTGATGGCTTTCTTCAAACCTTTCTTGTGAATGAAATGTTCCTATTTCCTTTTTCACCCCTACTAGAATGCTTTTTGAGTTTTTGGTTATTCAGGGAAACAAATTTCTTGTGGAATGATATTCTGTTGCCTGCTTGATACAGATTAATACATAATTTTTCTTTCCTATTGAACTGATGGACAGGCCTATGACAGGCAAGTCTTAAAGCAGAAGACATATTAAATACTTGGCCAGATTCTGAATTGGGCCGTATCCTAAGGGAGTATGGGGAAGAAAGTAATTGGCGTACACTGCAAAAGAAAATTGCCCAAGCCCGATTAAACGGTGGATTGCATTCCACTGGTGACTTGCTAGACCTTATTCGGCGTGTGACTCCTGCAATGAAAGGTAGGCCCTTGTCCAGTTCTGTTTCTGTTTGACTATAAGTATAATTTCTCATGCATGTCATTCATTCGTTGATTATTACATATGTTGTCTTTTCTTTACGTACTGTAACCTCTCATTTTCTTTCTCTCCAATGCCATTCCTGATCAGTCAATCTACAAAGTTTTTCATGAAAAAGGTGTGAACTAAATTTTAATTACATTGTAACAGGTGGAAGGCAAGGTTGGATAAAGACAGCAACCAGGGTGTTTCAAGCTCTGAGAATTGCTGTTAATGATGAACTGAAGACTCTTGAGGATTCCCTCTATTCTTGTTTTGATTGCCTTGCACCTGGGGGTAGGCTTGCTGTCATATCTTTTCACAGTCTTGAGGACAGAATTGTGAAGCAGACATTTCTTGATATAATTAAAGGGAGCAAAGATACGGGAGAAGAGGAGAGTTGCATTGGTGATTTGAGGAAAACGAGTGATGAAATTAAAGAAAAAGAAGCATGGATAAGACACGTTATACATGGATCAAATGGAACAATTCTCACAAAAAGACCAATCACGCCATCAGGAGAAGAAGAGAAATTGAACCGCCGAAGTAGAAGTGCAAAGCTCAGGGTTATTCAGAAGCTTTGAAGATAAAACATAAAAAATTGTTGTTTGGAGTAGAGCCCTTAGAAATCCTTGTATTCAAAAACTTGTCTGTACCTATTGCTGTCCTACAAATTCATCTTTAGAAAATATGTAATGCTCTATTCACAACTTTTCATTAAATGAAAAAGGTTGAATGCATTACTTTTTAAATTAAATAAATTACTTATTTTTAACTTTAGATTTATAGCAAATTATTGTCTTAAGATTTTAATTTTAGTGGTTCATCTACTTAAATTTTGAACATTTAGTAATATATATAAATATCTTTTAAAATTTTAATTATTACTATAGCACTAGTGTCATACGAGTTTACTTAAATGCTCTGAAGTGCTTGGTTGGAGAGAGAGAAAAAGAAGAGGAACATGTGTTGTTTTGGGGTTTACTATTATAAAGAGTTGAGGAATAGTTAAAGGGTATCTATTTTCTCCCATAAGAAAAATTTTCTGTAGGAGTTGATTTTTTAACAAATTCTTTCCTCTATTTCGGATGTTAAATATTTCTCAGAACATGAAGTGTGAATCAAACCCATGTTTGAATTGAAATTGAGATACTGATGCAAGTTCTTTCCTTCTGAATCAGGTAGATTCATATCTGAACGAGGGAAAAATTCATCTATATATGGATGAATTCATATTTAATTTATATTGATGCTTTATTACACTACCTTTTTTGCGTAGACCTTTACATATTTGTATTTTATATCATTGATATATTTCTCTTTCTTTCACCTCATCACCTTATTTATCTATATATTTTTATTGCTTTATGACTAGTAAGATTTTAAAATTATTCTTCTTTCTTCACCATGTCAACTGACAATGTTTGAAGAGAGAGAAAAACAAAACAGCTTTATTAGTATAACAAAGTCTTATTAGTCAGACTTTGTTAAAAATCGATTGATGGAGAAAAATTTTCTTATATGAAAGGAGAAATACATTTTGCCCTAATTAAAAGCTTTAAGTAGTGATTTGCTAAAATTAAAGCTTTAGCGGTAAATTTTTTTTTTTGGTACATAGCTTAAGCGGTAATTTATCTATGGTAATCATCCTCTCTTGTTACGCAAAATGAGTAACTTTGATAAATAAATAAAGAAAGAAAAGAAGGTACCCTATATTATGTTAAAAGTGGTTAATTATTTATGGGAGAATTATTTTTAATTTAAAAAGATATAACTTTGTGTCATTTTATTATATAATTGATATTTTTTATATTTTTTTTCTTTATAAAATTAAGAATAGAAAGAAAATGGAGAAGAGAGAATAGTAAAAATAACTAATTATGCACCAAAATAACATTATTTTATCTAAAATGGCACAAAAGTATATCCATCAAAATATCAAACATTTTTCCATTATTTTATTATTTTATGGAAAAAAATATGTGTCATTTTAAAAAATATAAAATTGTGTCATTTTAAAAAAGAGAAAGAAATAGATAAAGGAGGAGAAAGAATTGACAAAAAAAAGGTATGAGTCCCACCTTTTTGTGAGAATGAAATAATATAAGTTATGTCATTTCAAAGGATAAATATTTTTTCCATATTTTATATCAATTTTGTAAGATTAAATTTATATTTCCTACATGCAAATAAGAACACAATGGTTTCGGTTAGAGAGTTGCGAGTGGCAGTGACCTTTCCAAATTGATGAGAGAGAGAGAGATTAGATAAAACTCATCTGTGACTGTAATCTAATTGTTCCTTTTTCAACTACCAAACAAACAGAGATTAATGGGTGATTATGCTATGCTAACCCACACTTTCTTTTCCCTTTGAAGATTAATTTCCTATTCTGAGTTTTCTTTCGATTAATTGGTAGTGCTTTCGTTTTGCAGCAAAAACAATCGTGTTGAGTAACAAATGGTACGGACAGGGACAACACTGGCTCACACATTCATCCTCCACCACGCAGAATTTCATCCACCGGTGAGTTTATTTATTAGAACGGTTGTTTTAGTATTACTTGTGTTGTAGTAGTAACTAGCAACTGTTAATGCTTATGGATATATTAATCTGCATGATTTGCTTGTAGCACCTTTGTTTGTTTTTTTTTTTTTTTATCAAAGATGTTAGTTCAGCTTTTATTTTATTTTTTTTGTCCGTTTTTTCTGTTGAATTGTATGGCTCAAATCTTGTGAATTTGTGATCTTTGCTGAGAATTGTTACTTTAGGTCTTAAACTTGAATTTTTAGGAAGAAAGTCGACATCGTGGTGAATTCCTCGGATTCAAATGCAAAGAGAGCAAATTTATTTGCTGCAAAAAAGGAGAGAGTTAAGCTGCCAAAATATGATGATGATGATGATGATCTTGGAGGAAAGAAATATCACATCAGTGAATTTCTGAGTCACCCAAGTGGAATTGCAGCTGTGTTGAACACGAGCGCCTTGCAGTCATTTCAATCTCTTGATGCTAACACATACAGGTCTGCCACTGCCACCTCTTTTATTCTTTCTTGGTGGCTTGATGATAATGCAAAAGTTACGGTGCATAGCTAATTCATTTGCTATATTTGGCACTGGCAATACAGATGAACTTAACAGGCCTTGTGTTGAACTTTGCTCAAAAGGAAACTACCCAAAATTATTAGATTTTTGATAATTTCAAAGCATTTCTTGTTTGTGAAGAACATTCGTAGATAAGCAACTGATTTTCATGACTCCCTAAGAAAGTGGAGCTGTATCTTTAATTTTAGGTGCTCATACTGACATACTCTGAAAATGAAATAGTTCAGCTAATAAACTCAGTTGCACTTGCACCATATTGAATATAGGTTGAATGTACTAATCCTTATATTTGAAATGCAGTGACATCATATAAACAATGTTCTAGCACTCTTGGTTTTTAGAAAACAAGTACTTCCTTTGTCTGAATGCTTTCACTAACTTAGCAAATTTCTTATTGCACTTGTGATGTGGCAGAATCTGAATCTGAATTCATATAATTATTTCTTGTATGTGTAGGTGTGCTCTGCCTAAACTTCGATTTTTGAACTTTGAAGCTGCTCCGTTGCTGGATCTGCGAGTTACCTCAACAAATGAAGATTGCTTGGTTGAGATGATTTCTTGTAAGGTGTGCCCCCTCCAACTCAAAAATAATAAAACAAAATGTCTGGTATATTATCAAACGGCTCTAATTTAGTACTCACATGAGCCATAAGATGTAAGTGGAATCAATGACTAATGATGAATGTAAGACTTGTTAGACTTACACGGGAATCAATGTAAGTGGTTCTTACTTCTTAGACTTAACTAAATTTAGTGTATGAAGTCAATATTTTAATTAAGTGCAATTCAACAATTGGATTGCTTGAAATAATTTATTTTAAGGAGTTAACAGATAGCCATAGTGAAATTATGTAAAATTTTACACTGGGGTCAACAGATCTGTATGATAGAGGCAGTGAATGCTTGCATATACGAGTAAAGTTACTTAATTTTTAAGTCTTCATGCACTTTTCAAGAAATTTTAGTTAATAATATGCCTAAAGTATGCATATTAATTAATGCCCTAAGATTAAACATAAGATAAACCTTAGTTTGATTGGACATGCATTTTTTCAACATTCCTTTAGTCACTCATCCCATTTCATTTTTATTCGCAGTTTGAGGGTTCAGAAATTGTGGAACAGCAAAACAACCACTTTTCAGGTAATTACGGGTGTACTGTGTGCATAGTGTAGGATCACATTCATACCTTGTTTATAGGATATAAATTTTTCACTTTCTTAAATTGAATTATAAAAATGTATATTTATCATGAGCCTCCTTGTACAAGAAAACTGATCTGTCTTCTCTAAAAGAGAACAGTGTTTAATTCAGCCTATGGGAAGGATTTGGAAAAAAGATGCTACTCCTTATAGCATAGGCCCCCCATACCATCTTCTGGAATACCCCCCTCCACTGAAAATAATGGAAAGAACTTAATTTCAGATAAGGTGTAAAGAGAGAAAATTGTGAAAACATGATTGGGTTTTATGCAGTTGGACCAGATGCAAAACTATTTAGTAGGCCTCTTAATGAAAAGAACATTTGACTTTTATTCTCAATAATTGACTGATGGTTAAGGAGGCTTTAAAATGGATTTTATATAGATATCAGAAGAAATTTATTCAAGAACCCTTGATATTGTGTTCTTTCTATTAGCTAATCTTTAAACACAGTTTTCTGCTGAATTCAAGTTTATCTACATGTTTCATGTGACTTTTTTGGTGCTCTTTCATTGGTTTTTTAGAACTTTGCCACAGTAATGTTTATTAATTATTGCTATGGATTTGCAGCATTCATGGTAAATCACATGACATGGGGTGGTGCTGATGCTGAATCATTTTTAGAAGCTGATGTAAAGTTGAATCTCACACTTGAGGTTGGTCTTGTCCTCATAATGTATATAAATATTGCATATACTGTTATATTCATTCTTTTTTCTCTTTCTTGGGGGTAAAGAGTGGTAATCCTGTATGTTATGATGATTGAATTTGTATTCAAGGACCATGAACTGCCTTACTTGGATACCACCCTTATGTAAATTATTTAGTAGCCTCATGGGAAAGAAAGCCTGGGGATTCAGTTGTTTTTTACTATTATGAAGGTTCAGTTTCCAGTTTGTTTCTTTTCTAAGAAACTTATAAGTTGGCCTATTCCTCCGTAATCCTTACCAATTCAAGTTCTGTTGCTGCATATACATACGCCACAAGGTCAACATTTTTGAACGAAAATTATTACTATATTAACTGTAGTATTTCAGTGAGATATTACTGATTTTTGCATTTGCCTCACATCTTTAAAAAAAAAGATCTCTGTTTTGCAGATCTACACAAGCCCATTTACCATGATGCCTATTTCAGCTGTTGAGCGTCCTGGAAATTTGTGAGTTATCTAGTAAATAATCTTAATTTTATCCTTTTAGGTTGCGTACTCCACTTTTCACATGGTCAATTTCTCTAATGATATATTGTGACATAAAGTATTGCATGTTCTATTTAAAATTACTAACTATTGCTGACTATGTTATGTCTAATTGCTTTTAATATAGTCCTTCAAGTAAGGTCTTTTGTCCTTCATGGGCAAGTCGAAGATATATTACAATCACTGGGAGATAAAGAGAATGCCAGGAGTCAGGACAATAATATTACAGTTGACTATCGAGTTATTTATTATGGACTAAATTTAGGGAAAAGTCTTCCACCATTATTTTTCTCTGATTGATGGCTTAGCTTCTACTTCTTACTTTTTTCCACACAGTCTGCATGAAATCAAAGAAGTTTATTATCAACTAAACCTTTCTCCTAAATATTGCCCTTTCAGATCAGTTAAGTTGAATAAGCTTCCTAATTCAATGTTGACATTGCCAATTACAACATCAGATGCTGTATTATTAAATGTTGAGAAGGAATTCCTAGTGATTCTACAGGGTGTGCACAAAAGTTCTATTTTGTTATGGGTGATGTTCTGACATAAATGATAAATAAGAACGGAAAGTTTATGCAAGTTGATTGGAGTCATATTCAGCAATTAACTTATAGTAACTATGTGGTGTGCCCTCTAGGTTACAAACTTGTAGCCTTTTAGGAGAAACTTTATATAAATTGGATAGTGAATGGGAAATTACGGGTTGAGGTTTAGAAGACAAAAGAACTCCAAAATCTCTAGGGAGTAGGTGATATTTTCTTCCTTTCTACACTATGTGGCTGTGGGATATATTTTATATATGTAGCCTTTTGTGAGTTAAATCATATTGTTTCTTTCGGAGGGTTAATTTGTCAGATATGCAAAGTAACAAGACAACTCTGCGACGGTAATTTTTTCTTTTCTTCTTTCTTGTTTGTTGTTTCCTTGTGCTCAGATTATGTCTTTCTTGCAACTAACTTAATGTAAAGCGTATGAACAGAATGAGAATTTTTGCCAGCTTTTCATTGCTTCACTTTTCTACTCTTGGTGTGTATGATTCTACGAGAGTTTCAACATGCAACTTATTTATTCAGAAACTATAATATAGAAGTGTGGCTATGTACAGAATGATGCAAGCTTTGGTAGACAAGCTCGTGCCACTGCTACTTCAGCAGATGCTACAAGATTATGATGACTGGGTTCAAAAGCAACTGGACTCCCTAAATCAGGAATTCTAGTTACAGAAAATTACAAATTTTTTGGGTAGAGACAACAGAGAGGGAGGTAGAACTTTGATGTTTAGATGAAAAGAGGGAGAGGTGTATAAAAATGAATAGTGAGAATTGGATTTCTACGAGGTCTATGTTAAAAACTCTGTCCATGTGAGATTCCTCGTAATATTATTCTTATAAGTCATAGATTTAGTAAGGTGATATTATATCATTGAATTTTTTGGAGAGATATATATCATTGATTTTATATGAAGTTGAGAAGAAATACTATTATGATAATTTGTCTGTTAAAAATTTAGGGCTTATAAATCTCGTAAGAGATACGCTTGAAGAAAGAAATATTTATTATTATATAACGTGGCATTGTTTTCTAATTATATCATTAAATTACTACCTTAATAATTATTAATATAACAGGAAAAGGAAAAACGTCGTGACAAAATATAATTTTTAATTTCATTTATATATCCTAATTTTTTTTAGATGAACTTAAAGATGTACATTAGATATAGAGAAAAATTATGGGCATCTTTGAAGTCAGTTTTCAAAAATAATATTTTTATTTTCAGAATAAAAAAAATTCGTTTAATAAAACCTGTTTTGTAAAAAATAATAATTAATTAGAACTATGTTTTTTTTTTTTAAATCAAATTTAGATAACATATCTGGATTATTTTTATTTCCTGTTTTAATTTTTAACTTTTAAAACAAAAAAATATAAAAAATAACTGTTTATATAATTATTCTACAAAATAATTTAAAAAAAAAATCACAATTAGGCAGACCCTATGTTTCTCAATTTTGTTTTACTCCATGAGCAAGAGTTGTGCTTATATCTTGAGGAGCTTAGAGCTTGAAAACCCAATTAAGTCCTCTCCTAAATCAGCTATCCTAAGGTGGTGTTCAACGGAAAACAATTGGTTAGGCGTGTACCTGAACGTGCGCGAAAAAATTCCCTTATGCTAGATTTTTTACATCAATTTTTTTTTGAAGTTTCAATGGAGGAAGCGATTGTTACTAATAATAAGACTCTCTCAATGGCAAGAAAGAGTACCAAGAGAACAAAGAGTGGGGAGGAAATCCCTATGGAGATACGGATGCGGGAAGCAGTTAAGGAATACCAAGCTGGATCTTCGGTGAATTCTAAACAAAGATCCTTTGCTGAAGTTACGGGAGAGGAGAACGGGGTAGCAGGATACATTCCCCTGGTTAGCTGAGGAAGAAGCTCCAGATCTAGAACCTCTGGACCCAAGCTTGGGTGAGATAACAGAATGGGGCTTTCAAACGATAATTAAGGAGGATGGTTTAGTTGAAATAAGGAGTAATAGTGAAGCCAGAGCAAGGATGCATCAACGATGGAAGAATGCACTAATTGTAAAACTTATGGGCAAGAAGATCGGGGTGGGGTTCATTAAGAAAAAACTTGAGCTTCTTTGGGCTAAGGCTGGAAGCATTACGATGGCAGATCTTGGGAACGAATTCTTCTCAGTGAGGTTTAATAGCGTAGAAGACCTCAATCTAGCCAACACGGGTGGACCTTGGGTCATTCTAGGTCACTACCTTACTACTAGGAAATGAGAACCATGCTTTGATCCTGACAAAGCTAATATCCACAAAGTTGCAGCCTGGGTCCGTCTACCAGGTATTCCTCAAGAGCATTGTGAGTTTCCTTTCCTCAACCATCTGGAAACTGTGATTGGGAAAGTGCTCAAAGTAGATAGAACCACTTCTACAGGAGACAGAGCTCGTTTTGCTAGAGTGTTTATAGAGATTGACCTCTCTAAGCCACTGAGAGGTGAATATATTCTTGATGGGTGTAGGAAGAGAGTTGAATATGAAGGCCTTTTCTTGATTTGCCTCAAATGTGGAAGGTATGGGCACAACTCGAATTCATGTCCAAATTTTGTCAAACCTGCTTCCTCGACTAAACTTGAGAAGGCTCTTGAACAACCAGTGGAAAATCCTTGTCCACAAGGTGTAGGCCCTTGGATGGTGGTCCAACGCAGGAAGAAAGTCCAGCAAAACATCCAGAGAAAAGATTCTCATAACAGCAGGAATTTTGGAGAAGATATCTCCAATAAGAAAAACATGATGGGTCAAAGGAAATCTCTAGAAGTTATCCCTGAAAAGCTTCCTGAATCTGTCATTTCTATGACTAAGGTGAATAAGGAGAATGAAGCTTTGAAGAATAAAAATCAGTCCCTTGTCTTGGGGATGAAGTTCACTACAGTAGCTTCCAATCATGCCAGGAAACAAGCCTCTTATGCCAGTAACCAAAAAACCATCTTCTAAGAATCCAAATGCTAAAGGCAAGGGAGTTGTCCATCTTACTCCCTCTAACATTGCCTCAGGCAGTAGCTCAAATTTGTAGAAGGCCAATCTGAGCTCTCCCCAGCTTCCTACTGAGCAGCAGAAAGGAAAGCTATGGGGTGACTTGATTATGGTTGTAGAAAATTCCACGAAAGAGGGTAGTTCTGATCAACTCAGTAAGAATATTTCTACTGATAATTTGGTCTATGATGTTATTGCGGTAGCACCTGACCCACCTGATCAAGACATGAGAGAGGAGCCAAAGATGGGAGAAGTCCAATCAGGTATGTAAGTTGAATTATCTTTGTGTAATTCAATGAACAACTCTATGAATGTTGAGTGTGGATTAGTATGTGGTAAAGATAATTCTGAAATAATGGAACCATTTGTTGAACATCAAGATTTAAGTAGCAAGAACTTTGCAATCTTACAAACAACCCAGACATCCTTATGAATATCCTTACTTGGAACTGTAGAGGTGTTGCAAAAAAGCAATTTAAGAGTACCTTTAACATATTTCGTAGAAAGCATAATGTTGGAGTGGCTGCTATTTTAGAACCTAGAGTAAGTGGAAATAAAGCTACTAGTATAATTCGTAGCTTGGGTTTTTCTAATCATATAATTGTTGATGCTCATGGCTTTGCTGGTGGCATTTGGGTAGTTTGGAATAACAAAGAAGTAAAGATTTCTCTTCTTGTTAAACATGACCAGTTTACTCATTGTTGGGTTGAATTTCCTGAAATGAAGGGGTTTTTTGGGACAGCTGTGTATGCTAATCCTCAGGAAGATAAACATCAAGTACTTTGGGAAGAGTTAAAGCATATTGGCAGAAATATGAATGATCCTTGTTTGTTATATGGGGACTTCAATGAAATAGCTCTGGCTTCAGAGAAAAGAGGAGGAGGGCCTCTGGATGTGAATAGGTGCAATCGGTTTGCCAATGTCCTAAATGTTTGTGGGGTGATAGATTTGGGGGGAGGAGGTAGCAGATTCACTTGGAAAGGTCCAAAATTCCTTCACTTAGATAGGTTGTACAAAAGACTGGACATAGAAGTTGTTAATGATGACTGGAGAGATACTTTTGAGGAAGCTGATGTATTAGTCCTTCCTAGACTGTTCTCTGATCATTGTCTAATTCTGATTAGAATGGTTAAATAAGATACTTGTTGGAGGGAGAGGCCATTTAGATTCTTGGCTACTTGGCAGAATGATGCCAGATTTCACTCATTCCTTAAAGCAAGTTGGAATCCATCTGCTGGTTTGTTGGATAGTTTAAATTCTCTTGTTCCTCTGTTAAAGGATTGGAATAAGAATATATTTGGGTTTACTCATCATAGAAAAAATAGTTATAGCTCGAATGGAGGGTATACAAAGGCAGCTAAGTTTTAGAAATAGCTACCAACTTGAAAATTAGAAGCTAAACTGAGGAAAGAGCTCTCTGATATCCTTGATCAAGAGGAGCAAATCTGGTACAAAAGTCTAGGGGTGATTGGATAAGAGATGGTGACAGAAATACTAGTTTTTATCACACTAGTACTGTAATCAGTAGAAAAAGAAATAAAATCATAAAGCTCCAGGATGATAATGGTCATTGGGTAACTGGAGAGGAGGAGCTAATTGCTCTAGCAAGGGGATTCTTCCAAAATATGTTTAAGGAAAGTACTGAAGACTCAATTTGGTTGCATACCAATAATTCTTGGCCTGCTATTAGGGAGGACCAAATTGGTAATTTGTCTTTGGATATTTCTCCTGAGGAAGTGAACAGGGCTTTTTTCCAAATGCCTTTGTTGAGATCCCCTGGAGCATATGGATTTCCAGCCTTGTTTTATCAAAGAAATTGGGAGATTCTCAAGACTCAAATCTACAGCAGTTTTATCTAGAACATCCAAATCAGATAGGTGAGTTAAACCATACTCTTATTGTTCTAGTTCCCAAAGTTGAAAGACCTTGTTTGATGAAGCAATTCAAGCCAATAGCCCTTTGTAATTCTGTTTACAAGGGGCTTAGCAAAATTCTTGCTAACAAAATTAAACCTCTTCTTGAAGAGCTTGTTTCTCCAAATCAGGTCAGTTTTGTGCCTAAGAGACATATTCAGGACAATATCATAATTGTTCAAAGAACTCATCCATTCTATTTGAAACGTTTACACATATTCAGGTCAATTTTATATTGATTATACACATATATTTGAAACGTTTACGTTAAATATATTTTTATATAAATACTTGTACGGGTTTGTTTCTCTTTTTGTATAATTTTTTAAGTTAAATTTTTAATTTATTTTCTTTTAAAGTATAAATAAGTCATTGTTATTTTTTTGCAGTTGAATTTAAATTTTCAATTATTTGTTATCAACTCTGCATATATTTTTACATTTAATCTATAATTTTAAATTATATTTAAATTAATTATATTTTTTTCCTAATGTAGAAACATTAAATGCTGAACTCTTTTCCTACCCATCAAATTCAAAATTCAAATTTAAATAGTTTGAATTTTAAATACTAAATATTTTTCCACTTAATAGACATACTAATAAACAGTTAAACACTATTAATAGGTTTAACAATTCTTCAAGTAGAAAGTAGTGAGAAACATTAAAATAGTCTGTAAAATATTTATTGGCTAAAATATTTTTACGATGCAAGAGTTGGATTTTCATTGAATAATTATTCATTTTTAAAGTGACTAAATTTTTATAATTAATTTTTTACAGAATGATAGATGTCATTTTTTATTCAAATAAATTTTTTGAAATTTTTTGTATTGTTTTTTGGTATCCAATTATTTTATATTAAATATAGATATATTTTGAAAAACTAATTTTTATCTTTTAATTTATAATTTTTATATTGGTTATACATATATATTTAAAACGGTTATGTTAAAAAAATACTTGTACGAATTTTTTTTCTTTTTGTATTATTTTTTTAAGTTAAAATTTTAATTTATTTATTTTAAAGTATAAATAAGTCATTATTTTTTTCAGTTAAATTTCAAATTTAAATTATTTTTTATTAACTCTACATATTTTTTATCATTTTAAATATTTTTTAATTTAATCTATAATTTTATACTATATTAAAATCTATTATATACAAAATTAAATTTTTAGTGATTAAAAATAGTGATTAAATTTTTATAATTTGTTTTTTATAGAATGATAGATGTTATTTTTTATTTAAATTAAAATTTTAAATTCTTTGTATTTTTTTGTATTAATTATACGTATTTTTTATCTTTTATTTTATAATTTTTATATTGGGTATACATATATGTTTAAAATGTTCATGTTAAAAAAACTTAATAAAAAATACTTGTACGAATTTTTGTAAGGAGCATCAATGATTTCGTGATATGGACTGGAATAATTTATTAAGGATAACATCTGATATGCGCTTAGCATATAAGGAAATCTGAGCCAAAAAAGAGAAAGAATGTTGATGAAATCTTGAGAAAAAGAGCAAGAATCACTGTTAATTTGTCAAAATCTTAATCAAGGATTGAATACTGATTTTATGCTAATTTTGTAGGAAAAAGCAAACAAACGGGGCAATTTTGGAAAAGGAAAAGATTTAAAAATAAAGTGTGGATATTCAGCAATTAGATCTCTTTCCAAATTAGAGATAAGATTACAAAGAGATGCGAAAAAGATATGATCAAGATCGCGACAGATTCCATAAAGATTTGATGAAGATTTATTCAGAAAAGATATGGAATTAAAGCGGAAACAAATCTAGATGATTTATGAGAAGATTGAATCAAGATACAATAAAGATTTGAAATTCTAATTTATCAATCAAATCTCCAAGATTTTTACATGAAAAAGGAAACAAAGTTTAAATCAAATACAAATCTTGGATGGACTCCAAGGAAGATTAGATGATGGGCCCAATTCCCGTGGCTATAAATAAGGAGCTTGGGAGCACAACCAAGTAACCAATTAACAACTCGGAGCAAGCAGAGGGTGACTGAAGATCAAGATTTCTTCTCCATTCTTTCCAGTAATTATAGTTTTTATGCTTTCTTTTGAATATTTGTTTATGTCAGATATGACTATGTCTGGCTAAGTTCTTTTATTGTAGTTAGGGTCACAAACCCTATGTGAACCCTTGTTATGACGGATTGATTTAAATTATTTTACTCGTTTATATAAATTTCTTTATCTTACCTTGTTCGTATTTGATATTTTCTTTATTAAACCTGATCAATTTGATAGTTGAAAATAGTTTGAGGGTTAGAACCTTAAATAGGGATATTGGGGTTTCTGATCTTGAAATGAGATAAGATAACTATTGGTATGCATACTAGGGATAGATGTATATTTAATTGCAGATGTTGGAATTATTGTGTTCATTGCTTAATTCTCATGAGGGGTTACTAAGGGATTAGGATTCTAAGTGAGGTTAAAGGGTTAAGTTACCAAGGGATTGGGATTTAATTATTAATATATTGAGATCATAATTATCTGAGAAATTATATAAATAAGTATTTTGTATCAATCCAAAGTAATAAGTGGGGATCATAGGGAGAGTGTTCCCTAACTGCAATTCTTTCTCATATTTTCAAAACCAACTCCATTATTATTCTTCTTTTCATTCTTGAAAATACAAAAACTCAAAAATAAGTCTTTACTTTTATGGTTACTAAGATTCAATTTAATTTTCCCAACAAGAGATCAAGTTTTTCAACTTAAAGTGACTGATTATTTTAGTACTTGGTTTTCAATCCCTGAGGAGACGATCTTTCTTACTACTTTACTACTTATGCGAAACGGTATACTTGCCGGATAGCATCAACATCTATCTACTTTTGCCTATAAGAATAATGATGCCACGTATGTCTAATATTTTTCTAGTGAATAATGCAATTGAGCTTACCAAATTGGATGGTCAATGGTTATTGAATATATAGTCATTCATACTTACAGTCATTGTTGTAAAAAACTAGTGTAAAAACGTAAAAATTTACGTTTTTACGTTTTTACTATAGTGGTGAATGTTAAAACGTAAGTAAAAATTGTCATTGGTAAAAACTGGTAAAAACGTCGTGTAAAAACGATAAAAACTTACGTTTTTACCGTTTTGACCGTTTTTACTTAAAACAGTTATTTTTAAAAAAAAAAAAGATTTACAAAATAAGAAATTAAAAAAACTCAATTTTCGTTTTCCCTAAATCATATGCACAATATCTTGATATCTTTTTGTTTGAATATATGTCTTTTATAATTATGTCTTATAATGCTGCAATTCTATTATAATCGATTTGTATTTTTGGATCATTGTGTGCACTGAAAGAAGTGAAATTATATCTTGATGAGTGTTGATCCAAAATCTACAGAGTGTATGAAGCAGTTAGAGCAGATTGGTTATCCATTATTTGTTACTTGTTAGTTATCAGTGTTTATAATTTTGATACTTGGTTATCGAAAAAAAGTTTCCTTTTTAGATAGATAAGTGGCTCAATACACATGTTCATTATGTGATAATTTTTTTACATGCATATATATATATAATTTTGTATCTTGACCTTAAGTAGTAGAAAGTAAAAACTTTACGTTTCGTGTCGTTTCTACGTTTTACTTTTCTACCACCCCTTTCCGTTTTCACGTAGAAACTCGAGTTTGACAACATTGCTTACAGTGATTAAATTTCTTAATTTGGTTTTTTCAGAATGATAGATGTCTTTTTTTTAATTTAAAATTTAAAATAACTATTAATTTTATATATTTTTAAAAAAATTATTTTTTTCTTTTTTCTTTTTGAATTTTATATTTTTTATATTGGTTATTACATTTTCATCTTGTAGAATAACAACTTGAGAAGATGATAAAGAGAAACACATTAGAGAATAAAATAAATATGTGCACAAAAGCTAATTACCAAATAAAAAGATCGAGTAACACATACTCTATTTATACACAAAATAATTTCATTTTTTAGTAATTAAGCCCAATAATAGGTTAACAATTACCCATGAAATTTTTTCTTTTTGGTATACTAATAAATATCATTAATAGACTTAACCAATTTCAATACATCGAGAAGTGGTAGAATTAAAAATATGAATTAAAATTTCGAATTTAGAAACTTATTAAATAGAAAACTTTTTAAAGTGATTTCATTGTTATTATAATTTTTCATGAATGTAGTGAAATT